ACGACGGGCTGTAAAAATTTATGAATGAATAAAGCAGAATCAGGCGAAATACGGTCAAGAGGCAAGAAACAGGCAAAGAAAAAAAAGTATTAATAAAAAGGCAAAAACAAATAAGCAAACAAAACGAAAATCACAAATAGTAAGTGAGTACAAAGTGGCGTGCATATGAAATATAAAACAGGCGATATATCCCACTACAAACGCGCATATGTACATATTTACACACACATGTCTGTGAATATGAATGAATGAAAAATTGTAGAAGCAGCAGAACTACAGCAACAACAACAAAAAAAGTTGTTAACGCAGCAGTTCCACGAACCAAAAAAACAAAAACCCAAAAAAAAAGCCAACGACAACCGCAGAAGACGAAAAAAAAAGTCTGTGAACAAGAAATTTGAAAGGTAACAAAAAACTGAAATTAAAACAAAAAACTTTAAATCAGAAACACGAGCAAGTGTGTGTTGGCAACTCGTTTTCCAGTTTTCCATTTTTCCATTTGCAGCAGCTGCCCACAAATTGTGCGTGGAGTCGAAGGGGGAGGGGATTGGAAGGGGGCCTGGAAGGGGGGAGTTCAAATTATGAATAAATATGAAGTTGGTCTGAGAGCGAAAAGCTAAAAATCAAAACAAATACACAGAAACCTTAACAACAAAACTGGGATAAATGATATCTTCGTGTAGCTGTAATTTAAATACTCTTGCTGGATTTAAAAGTAATACATTTAATTTTTTCGTTCGCTCGACCAAATTTAAAATTTTAATTTTTAAAAATTAAAATATTTTTTTCGTGTTTTTGTTTGAATAATTTATTAGTAGCTATGGTACAATAGTTCTTAAAAAATTGTACATTGGTTTGCGCCTTAAGATTTCAAAACTTAAAATACATACATATATCGTAGCTTACTCTTAGACATCTCTTTATGAGCCTCCACAGTATTTTTGGAATTCTCTTTACATTTTTTACAAACCTTTGATCAAAATCAGAATACACAAAATTGAAGTGTATAAAAAGGCAACCACGATTGCAGTTGAATTTCAATCCAAAGTCAGCGGCGCGCCCACGGTCAGAGGCAGAGCAGCGGCAGAGCCAGAGCCAGAGGCGGAGAGAGAGGGGCAGATGAAGACAAGAAGGAGAAGCTGGAGCTGGAGTAGCGATATAAAAGGAGCCCCAAAAGACAAAGGCGAAGTAGAAGTAGAAGAGGAAGAAGCCGGTTTGCAGGAACCAGCCTAGAAAGAGAAAAGGGGGAAGACAGAGGAAGAGCGGGATGCATCACACGCAAAAAAGGAAGGAAACAAACATCAAGCCCCAATGACAGAGGAAGCATCAAAAAACGCCAAGAGAGAAAGGGAGGCAACAAGATCCACTCGACGCTGCCTTTTATTCCCATTTCCAATTCCATTTCCATTCCCCTCATTCATCAACTGCATTTCAATTTTTTTTTGTTTTCTTTGCTTTTTTTTGAGAACCAGCTAGTTTTGTTGTTTTTGTTGACTGGCGAGCATGAATGAAAACGAACGTGTTTCTTGGGGAGAGAGACCGAGAGCGCCAAAAAGAGAGCGAGGGAGCGTGCTGGGGAGCAGCGAAGTCGGCAGCGACGCCGACTGCGCCGGGATGAATGAAATGAGCGCCAAAGTGAATGAAAGTTGTGGGGCTCGCGCCGTCGACTTCGCTGTCAGCGTCGACGTCAGGCTCTTCCTCTGTCTTTCTCTCTCTCTGTTTAATGGAGCTCTTTTCTCCCTCAGAGAATTCAAATTTTTAATATATTTTATACAAATCATGGCGCTCAATTTAATAAGCAAAATTTTAATTTGCTTTATTTATTGTTTCGTTTCTTTTGGTTTCTTGTTATTTTCAAAGTTTATGATTAATGAGAGATGATTAAGGCGAACGAGTGTGTGTTTTGTGGCTGTGTTCTCATATAATTTAAATAAGGGCAGCTTTTTGCGTACACTAAGAATAAATATAAGGAAATTTTAAGAAATTCGTCATTCTGTAGCCGTATTTTTTTCACAAAAAATCTACCAGCACAGACAATGATTTTTTTTTTTTTTTAATACTTCAGCATTCATCAAATGCTTAAAAGCATTAATACCCAAATATTTTAATATTTCCTTTAGCATGACTTGATTTATAAATAAAATAAAAAAATTATATATTTCCAGACTTTAGAGGGACTTTAATGTTGAGTGTACCTTCGTCCACATAATGTAAACTTAATTTACGTGCCTGGGTCTCGATCTTTTTCTGCTTCTTCTGGCCCGCGATATTCCCCCTTTTTTATGTGCCATCCCCAATTTCCATTCAGCATCTGCGCAGTTGTCGCCGTTTTTGCATGTTTTTTCCCTGTTTTTTTTTCCGCCTTTTTGTTTTAGTTTTTGTGATTTTATATTTATTTTTTGTTTCTGTTGCCATTTTATGGCCGCGATCTTCTAGCGACGAGCGAAAAGTTCAGGCTGCCAGTCGTTTTCAGTAAGGGACTCGGCTGGGTCCCACATATGTCTAAATACATGCAAAGATATGTAAGACTGTACATACCACTACATAGGCACAGTGGGGTGGACCTTAGCACTAACAATTTCATTTGACCAAAAGGGTTTACTTTGTACAATTTAATATGTGTACTATAACAATGTGCTACCCTGCGTATAAGTGATAAACTTTCAAGCCATTGTCTTTTCTTTCGTTTAACTGAGGTCCACCCTTTCATACACTACACATTTGTATATTTAGTTGGACACTGACTTTAGTCTTGGGTTTGCGTTGACATTGAAATTGTTTGCGTTTTGTTGATCTCTACGCAGCGATAAGACATAAATACATAAATACTTTTTACGTTTTTCGGGTTCTTTTTCTTTCTACGACTGCCTCGCTGTTTTGGGCCATGGCGAAAAAAACTGAATTCCCAACGAGATTTGTGTTATTTGTTTTTATAAACATTAAACAGCTCTAAAATCGTTTCGATCCCTGCGATTTTGACAGATGGCTGTGCATTGTTTTCGATGTTTGCCCTGGCTGAGATATTAAGATACACATATGTACACTTTTACGCAGAGATAGCGCCAATTATTTTTCTACTGTTCTACATGTTATACTTATTAACAAATTACACCATTGCACATATTGCTTTTAGGTATTTAGATTAGGTATTTTTTTTGTTTTCCAACCGTATTACCTGTATCTTAAAGGCGTACATTGCTCATACTTGATCAGAAAAATTTTAACACTTGACTTGTACAGATAATATAAGTATTTAATTAAAAGCTAAATAATTTATATTGACAAATTTAAAACATAATTTTCCAGTTTGCTCAGGTGTTAATACATATTGTAATTACATTTTTAAGTATAGAATACAAAATTTAAAACAAATTAAAAATGTATATAAACTAAAATATCATAAAGCAAATATCACTTAAAAACAAATAAATGATTGTCAGGGTTGAATTAAAAATAACTACATTGATACCCCAAGTGGTATGAAGTCTGGGGTTCAATTTCAACATCAAGCTTGCTTTATCGCCATGCCCAAAAGCTAGTACTATCAAAAAAAAAAAAAACCGAGACATTCCCATTATTAACACATTGTTCTCGCTTCGCGAACAAGAGGGCAAAAGATGCATAACAAATTACCATAAAACGTTGTCCGATACTTGAAATCTCTTTTTGCCACGACTGTGTGTGAAATAATAGATAAAATATACTAGACACATGCCATAAGAAAAACAACAAAAACGGCAGAAGCAGAGACACAACGATGTTTTGTCACATTACGTATACGAAGAGTTGACAGAGTGAGTGAGTGAATGACTGACGTATTGCCTGATTGACAGCAGCAGCGGAGGGAAAAGGTAGCGCTGCACATTTTGAGATATATTTATTTCGAGTATTTCAAATGCAAATGTATTCGGCGCGCAGAGATCTCTTTTTTTTGTAGAAGCATTTAAAGGAGCAAATGAATGAATATATGAATGAATGGGTGAGGGAGTGACGGAATGAATCTGTGTAAGTTCGCTTGGCACTTTGCCGGGGGGTTTTGGGTGGGGAGTTGTTCAGGAACAGGGGCTGGGCCCACCGGAAACAAACGACGTGACTTTTCACTGAAATATGAACATGAACCCAACTATGCGAATGCTTGGGAATTATGTATATTCCATCGACTACATTATAATAAATACACACGATATGCTATAACAAACGATCCCACACACTGGCTAAATATCTTTCTTTCTTGGCTTTGTTTCTTTTTACTTGGGTTCTTTTTTTCCAGCAACACGCTTTTGTTGGCTTATCTTATCGCCAAATTATTTGGCCCGCTGTTGGCTCGCTCACTCTCTGTCTGTTTTCGCTTTTTTATCGCTCAGTTCAAAAGGCAAAAAATAATAATAAGGTCGCAAAAACAACTAACCATAAATTGGTCGATTGCGACGACTGCGAAATATCCTTCTGCAAATCATTTAGTTGAGAGTCAATTTCTCAAATCATGTTAAGTTTTGACATTGACTTTCTCTGACAGATTGCAATCTAGAACCTTTAAAATTTTGGACTTCTGCAGCTTAACCATTTCTTATTATTGGTATTTAGTAACTTAACAACGTAATAAGTGAACATTTTTCAAGAATTTTGTTATCCTTATAAGGATTTCTGCTGAATGCAGTGCATACACAAGCGAAACTTATCTGTCTGAGTGATACACATACAAAATATATAAACAACGTATATGAGTCAAGATAGAACCATAACGCGCCACAACTATATAATTGTTGAACATTTGCTTCTCAACAACATTTTGCTCTTCAATTATTTCCATTTCTTGGAAATCTGTTATCAGAATTCGCCAGACCTCGAAAAGCCATTCAACAAACAAAATATAGAGAGAAATAAAAGGAAAAAAGTGGTATTTAGCAATATGAAACTGATATAGCGAATGGGTTAGCACTTGGCCAAAGTAAACAATCCGTACATTATATTGGCATTGCTGTGATGGTTTTTTTACTCACCCAAAGACGCCTCATGATCTGAAATATCCGATAAACTGCAGATGGGCAAGTCCTTGCAGCCATGGATTGGCTCCTCCTTGATGAAAATATTTTTTGACTGTAAATTTAAATTAATAGTACTTAGTTAAACTGCTTTTGTAATTCATTTAATCGAATAACAATTACGTTAATTATTAAATTTGTGTAAAAACTGTTTTTTATGATTCATTTTACATTCTTAAACGGTATTGTCATTGTTTTATTTCACCACACATTTTTAGGCAAACCATTTTATGAGTCATGAAATATGTTTCTCCAATTCGTATGCATTATTCTACCCAAATTTATAAAATGATTTAATTTATTTTCCATTTTAAAAGATTAGAACAAAAAGAGGAGTTGTCATGGTGCCCGTTTTTAAATTAAAGTGCAGTTCTGATTCACTCGTATACAATTTTTGATTACGTTTTTCTGTTATTAACTTGAGGGTTTATTTGCTAGAGGTATATTCAACTGATTTTAATTTAAGTTTCTTAGTAACTTTTTTATTCTTTCGTACAATTGATTTTAAAATTTTGTTGTTGTTAATTAGAAAGCAATATATTAGGCATGATCTATCCATCACTTCTGTTTGTTATTCCTGTCCCCGCTGCCGTTTGCATCTTTTAATTTTTCCCCAATAGGTGTTCTCCCCCGTCATCCGCAGCCTATCTGCACCACAATGAGCCACAGTCAACAAGGCATTCATGATTGTGTTGTACATATTTATAAACAAGCCACTTTTACCCAATTACAAAATGTGTGTGCGCCCCTCGTTGGGGAGAGTGTAGTGTAAAAACTGAGACTCGGGCATAATCAGAGCAACAATAGCGCAAAGTCGTGGCATAGATTGCCGGCAATTGACAGTGGCTGGCTGCGGACTGCCCCAATGTGATGGCACACACAGAGTCCGTCCCATGGGTCCGATCATGTTGAACGCGTTCTAATAAATTGAATTGTACGTTTGACTTGCCCATAGAACACTGGCGAGGGGAGACTGCGGGTCGCTTAATGATAATGGAGGTCAGAGTAGTCAAACGAAATGCTCCGTAAATATCGTAATCAATTCCAGAGCCAATCCAGCGACAAAATTCACAATTTGAATTGGAACTCAATTTTGGCTCTCTACGATCCACAAGTCTTCAGTTTCGAGGCTGGCATGGAAACCCAAAACTGGGCTCCCCTGAGGCCAGACACTCTGGATCGGATTACCTGGCTGCCTTTTCCAAGCGACTGAACATGCGCATGTCCTTTTGGGGTTTTGGACCGGGAAACGGGGAAAGGATCGACTTGGAGTCAGGCTGTTGGCCCCGAAAGACCGGATGAAAGTGGTCAACGGCTCGGCGGGCCAACGGATATGCTTACCGCAGGTGATGTGTCAAATGCCTTCACTTGGGACCTGTCGCTGGTCGTCAAGTTTATGTGGGACACAAAGAATTCAGCGAGAGAAAAAATTATAAAGAAAGGACATACTTTGGTATCGAAAATGTGCTACCCTTTGCTCTATCGGAAAACAATTTATAAGAAAAATCTCTTTACAAAGCCAACAAATCTTATCTTATTAAATCACTTTATGACTGTTAAGTGCGCTTACATTTTTTAATAGCACAAATAAATATTTATTAATTTTGTGACTTTAAGAAGAGACTCCATCATCATAATTTCTAATGAAAAGGTATTCAAAGAGATAAAAGAAGAGGTGTAGAAGGAAAGGGAACTGCACCAAAGGAAGCCTTATGATCATTGTTGGCTGTTTGACTCTTTTTTTGGTCGGTTACGCATTGAGGTCCCTACTTTTCGAGGCGTATCAACTTATTCCAAATTTTTATCAGGCCTATTGTCTATTCAGATGCGTCATACGACAAGTGGCACGCTTATGGCGTTTATAGCTATAAACAAAAGATGCTTTACACAAAAGATTCCACAGGAATCCAAGCGAATTTGGTAGACTCTTTAAAAACACTTTAAAAATTCTCTATGATCATTCCCAGATTATTCTCTAAATATTACTTAATTGTAAAGTCTCCCCCAAAAGCAGGGTGTTGAATATTGCGAATGCAAACGCAACAAAGCATAATACATAATAATTGCGTATTGTTTGGTCTACCAAATTTAGAATGCGATCTACGTGATCTGCATTCGCAAAATGATCACGCTGTCATTGGGGCTCCAACTTCAGTGGCTGTCAAACTGGCATAGAAACCAATGGACAGGCTATCGATCACTTGATCAGCAAATTCACTTATACGTAGTTATATATAGAAATTATAGATTTATGCAGCCATCGATCAGCGACGTGCAGTCATCGCTACCTAGTTTTCAATAAGCTAAGTGTCGATTTTTCACCAAACTTCAGTTGGATTTGAATAAATAGTGATCGTTTAGAGACTAAAAGTCACTAGGTATCTAATTCGCCTAGAATAAATAAGTGGTTTGTGCTAAAACTTATTTTGTATACCTATTTTTGTTTTAACTTAAATTTTGGCCAAGATAAATCGGCTCAACTACATGAATCAGTATAATTTTTGAATTGTAATGACCCACTAAATAGAAAGATATTCTTGTTGGTCGTGCGAAAATCAATAACAAAAATTCCTCGATAAGCAAGACAATTTAAACTTATTTGTGAAAATTTCTCCACTCACCTCAACTAGGCTGGATAGAAATGTAACTTTGCGGTTCTTCTTGAGCCTCATGTTGCTGACTTGGCCCGAGTTATTGCTGCTATTAAGGTGGCTCAAAATCGATGGAGTGCCGATCGAATTGAGATGACTGCTGCCGGGCGTCTTGAACAGATTTCCGTTGATGGCGTTCAGGTGGAAGAGCTCGTGGGCCGCCTTATCGAGGAATGCAAACTGGGCGGCGGCTGAGGAGTGCGATGACGTTGCAGAGACCGCTGATGATGGTCCAATGGCCGCAGATGTGGGCAGAGCGGGCGGCAGCATAAATTTCGTGGCAGACAGATCTGTTTTACAAATCGCCAATTCCATATTGCGCAGGCATCTGGAGGGGGAAACAATAAAACAAACAATTAGCTGGCTGCTCAATAAACAAATCATTTGCAATTATTACTACGGCTGGGTGTGAGGTGTTTTAATTATCGCTCAATTATTGGCTTGTTTCCCTGCTTTATTAGACCTCGTTGGCACCTCCCACTCAGGCGTTCGCACCTCTTCCATGGCTCAATCCAGCTCTATTGACTCAAGGAATTATGACACTTTTTCCAGCACAGTCAGTCAGTGCAACATCAAAAGTATCCGCCACCTTTAAAGCAGCCCACAACAAAACGAGCCGACGCGGCAGTTTGCATATGAGCACGCTTTTATTTTGTTTACACAGCATCCATCATATGGGGACGATAGACATAGACCCAAGTCAAAGGGTTTCAATTTTCTAAATATATTTCTAATGGGTTTCGTTCTCTTTCGAGTTCTCAAATATTTGCCCTGGCCAAGCAGCGGTTGATGATCATGGAGCGATGTGATGTGAATTTCAAAGAAAACACGAAAAGTTACTTTGAAGTGTCGCCACAAAGAGATCGGGCAGAAAGATCACACAGATTTTTTTTTAGTTTGATTCCCTGAATGTTGCTCAATTAGTTTATTTAGTCCCTATGCCTTGGGAGAAAATGTGCCCATTTCCCTAATAGCACTTGCGGTTTTCTATAAAAAAAACATTTTTAATTTATCAGTCTTGCAACCAGATAAAGTGCCAAATAGAACACTCTCCACGCATTTGGCGACCAATTACCAATTGCTCAAAGATAATTTACATCTTTTTGAGCAAAAACAATTTTCAGCTTGTCTTGGATTCCCAATTACTTTCATTAAAATTAGTTTTAAGAGGCTTTGCTTTGATACGAACCAAATTCAAATCCAAAACGAATAACAATAATTCTAAGAAAATTTTATCAACGGAAGTGGGTAAGATAAGACCCGGAGAAGAGAAGAGCTGAGCAGCAATTGAAGAAATCCCAAAGGCCTCGTATGAGGGTTCTCCCCACTTGCAGACCCAGTAGCCACTATAAATAACACGGCTCCGCGATAATGTCCAGTAATTACGACTTAAATATTATGTTTTTATTTAATGTTCTTTAAGTGATAAAAGCTACTTTGCGATAGTCTAAATTTGTTAGAATGACCAAACTTCGACAATTTTAAGTCAATTCAAAGGAAAAACTTCCAATTAAATGTTACACTAAATTAAAATATATCTATTTAACTTTAAGCAAAGATTTGTAAAACAATATATAAGTTGTCTTGAAAGATTAGGCTCTGAGCTTTCAAATCACCCCAAGTGTGAAAAACTTTTGTCTGCCCATATACAGTTTTTTAAAAAATAATTTGCCACTAAAGAAAAAGTATTATAAGTTTGGGAGCAGTTCTTGTTTTAATTCGTAAACGCCCACATACATATTAAGTGCGACATCTGGGGAGTATCTTTGGGCACTGGCTGCCTAATTAGATACGTTATGCAAATGTGTAGATACTGTCGTCGCATCGATGACGATTCCACCGAGGTCCGTCTCCCTCGCTCTCGCTCTTTGGCACTCGGTGAGTGTGTGTCCAACGTTGTTATCTAGCCGCCTTATCAGTCCATGTACATACACAAATGCAAATCTGCGGTATATTCATAAATAAGTGAGTACGGGTTGAAAAAATTCCGCCATTTCGACGCTGATCTAACTGAATAAAAATAAAGCTAAGAAAAAGGGGAATCCTGAATACCATTGACGAAACGAAGGTCTAAGCACACTTTTTTAATTAATTAGGGTCCTAAACTATTTTGAAAACAAATGTTAGTTATCATTTCCTGGAATCGTTTGCATTTAATTTTTTTTTTTTTAACTTTGTTAAGAACCTAGAGTATTTTGCATACAATTGTTAAATTATTCTCGATCCAAAACTCTAGAAATATTTTCAAAGATCTATGATATTCTCTTGAGCGGACACATGGACAACTTTCAGTTGATCTTCAATAGAAAGTAGAATACCACATTGCCTAGGGCAACACCTTCATAAAAAACTGTTGCATAAATTTCAGCTTTTGCTCTTGCGAAATCAATTTCGATTTGATTTGCTGATTTTGTCAGTGGTTGTTTCTGACCAACTGAAACCGCTCCAGCTGGACACAGTTATGTATTCGCGTCCACAAAAATAGATATAAATATATATTTTTGTGTGCTTGGATCAAGTAAGTGCACTAAAAACGAATTTAAGTTAATCAACATTTAAATGGATAATAAAATCAACGACTGCAGCCGCGAAATGCTCTGCGCGCTCCACAAAAAGTTGATTTATTTCGCGCCTCTTAGTTTTGCTGCCCGCCCCAGTGCAATCAGTTTAATGTAGAACAGCAATAACAGAAACCGCAACAACATTACTAAATCTGCACACAAACTACATATATGCACTTTCAGTTGTGGATATATATAGATTGAGACTGCATATGATTTTGAATATGGTAGCAATACTAAGTGCACTTTTCACACGAAAATAATTTATTGACGCATAAAAGTGGCCAAGATAATTGGCAACTTTTGGCAAGTCTAATTGATTTCACGGTTTGCAAAAAGAAAAAGAGAATTTCTAGAGCTTAGTTGAAAATGATATTCATAAACAGTTTTAGGAATTACAATTGTGAATAAAAACGTACAAAATAGTTAATTAAGTGTAGAAGCACATAAAGTAGCCAAAACAGAATCTACTAAGCTTGTTCCTCAAAACAAAATAAGCTTTGATTACTGGCAAGCTAATGGATCTGGGGATTCACATTTTTGGACCTAAGTGCCAGGAGATCAACCCAAATAAACATGACTTGACGCTTATTCCCAACGAACCCAAATATTTCCTTGCAAATTCCACATTTTGCGATTGGTTTCTGATCCAATCATTCTTATCATAGTAAATTCCCCTCTTACTGGTAAATAGTGGGGAGAATCCAATTCACAAAAGAATTCGAATGGGAACAAATTAAAGAGTTTGAAAGTGGCACTCACTTTAATCGTGAGTTCAACTTGCAAACATTTCGAGTGCTGGCAGAGCACCAGAAATCATTCGGCAGGGTGCCAAAAAAGAGTCGCAATCGCCAAACTATCTGAACACAAATCTTATCGCCCCAGACACGTAGATTACCGAAACAAATAAAGAGAGAGGGGCGACAACAAAAAACCACACGAATCGAAAATCGGAGCATATGTTTTCCCTGGAAAAGAGCAAATTTTGGGAGGGCGAGGGCGAGGGCGAGGGCCGGAGTAAGTGGACCAAAAGAGTATGTCTGGAGTCCGAGTTTTAGTCTGGAGTAGAGTCTGTGCAAGGCAGATGCTTAAAGAACAGATTGTAAACGAATATGATCTTTCGATATGGTGCACACTCCTCGGCCAGACGACGACAACAACAACAACAACAGCAACAGCATGAGCAACAAATAGGGGTGCAATTTTTCGGTGTGTACGTAACGGTAGAATACACATTTAGTCGCTGTTCTTTTCTTTCCCAGCGACTGGCCCTTTCTTTCTTCTTCGCTGGAAAGAAGGGATCTCCGATCCGCTGATGATGATCCTCGGGATGCCTGCCTGTGCACATGTGTTCTATCTGTCGCAGTCGTCCCTCTGCGTGTGTGTGCGTGGAGTATCGGAGTATCTGTATCTGTGTGCCGTCTTGTCATGGGATCGATCTTGATCTCGGCCTGTCTGCAGCAGGTTGATACTTTTAGCATCGGTACGGGCGCAGAATCCGAGTTTAACGTGGCATGGGGCAACGAACCAGCCCGAAGATCCACTGAACTGTAATTGTCTGTGGGTATTTATGGAAAAGGATCTTGAACTGGTCTTTTATAAAAAGGGAGACAGTGGTAGAGAAAGAGAGAACGGGGAGAGATCTGAGCTCAATTATGAGCCAACGATCGTCACACATCAAATTATCGATTATGGCAATAATTTCTTATCATTCCCTTGTGTATTTTCATGCAATTTAGGAGATGGATATTTTTATGCCTTAAGGATCTTTTAATTTTCTGAAAAGTTAAGGGAATTAAGAATGGCTTGCACTCGCTTTGGTTTAATGTTCTTTAAAAATATCATGTTTGTTTTTGTTGTATATTAACGATCGACTAATTTAGGTAGATTTCATTTCATCTAACCATGTCTGAGCAACCTATTTTTTTTAACAATTTGTAAACCTTTTTCTTGTAATAATTACTTTAATATCAAATAATCCTTTTAAACCTTTTTTAGGTAAATTTGTACACAGGAAAATCCCAATTATGGGTTGTTAGAAACACCTGCTTTTCTTTGCTCAAAAGTCAAAAGAGTAGCGCTCCCGTATCTTTTTATTGATACTTAATTGTCTAATGCGATCGTTGTCCCACATTCTTGGCCCTAACCAAAGCGTTCACACATTCTCGATTAAAGAACTCTTTGGATCGATGGCCCGAAATACGATCAAGGGGCAGCGAAGCTCATTTGCGGCACCGGAAGCTGTAAAAGGAACAGTAGTAATTTTGATCGTGTTCCCACAAGGGTTGTGGAAGTGCCCCACACAGGCGGCTAGCATACACACACAGCTAACTAGCTTCGCTATGAAGAGGTAGAAAACCAATTCAAATTCTGTTGGCCAACAACGAGTTTATAGAGGCAGCAATCCTGAATCGAGGCGAGATCGCGAGATCGGCAGATCGCTCGGTAGCCAAACCAGTTTTTTCCTAGATTCATTCAAGAAAACAGGCAACACCAACACAGAAAGGGTTTAATACACTCGGAATAAAGGTCCCCATGTTAATCTGAGAAAATTATGTAAATTAAGAACTGAGTTTACAGAAATTTGTAACAAAAATAAGTTTAATTCTTTCTTACCAAGAAGTAAAATATTTAATAAATAAAATAGCTACAAATTAATGTTTAAAGTATTTAAAATAAAGCAAGCATTTTCTTAAGCAAACTAACGTAGAAATACTTCATGACAATTAAAATCAAAACAAATTTTCCGATAGAACCAGTTGCGCATTCTGAACGAACTGCAGGTCAAACCAATTTAGGTAATAAATAACTTTTAATAGCTTAAACTTAATTCAAAAATTGATTTTAGAAGCATAAAGTATTTCTGATATTAAGCTCTATTTTTATTCCAAGTGTAGACAAAATAACAAAAACTAATACTTGAACTACTGTTTTTCAACACTTCACTTCACTTTTCTTACCGGTGCGGGGCAATAAAATAGCGCCCCTCGAGAACGGGAGGGCCGGGCACTGGGTTCTTGATTTTAGGGTTCTGGATTCTGGATTCCGTCTTTAGGTTGGGTTTTATTAGGGTATCCAAATTAATTACAGCTTCAAATTAGGCGCACAATCTTGATGAAGTAGGAAGCACCGATAACTATCTCTCGCGCTCTCTCTCGCACGCTCTCCGTAGTACACTGTGGTATATATGTTTTAACCCTCCGGTGGGATCAGCAGGTTGATTAGGGGGAGAGAGAGGGATTACGTGCCCGGGACAAAGACAAAACCGAAAGGAGCAGCTCGAGAAGAGAGACGCGATCGGGATCGGTTTTAGCTCGGCTTAAACTTATAAGACGCGAAACGAAACAATCCGAAAAATAAAAGGCCGACGCTTGGCACACACAAACAAACCCACAGGCACACACGCGATGTTTGAGGAGATTTTTGTGGTTTTATGATGGATTTTGTATATAGATTTTGGTTTCCTCTGGTTCTTAACCGTTTTTTTGTAGGTTTTCTGGCGGTTTTAACCTTTGTACTGCGCACACAGATCTCTTGATGATTTGCTATTGCACTAATTCACACACTTTTGTTTTTGCTTGGCTTGCAAAGCATTTTGTATTTGGTTGTTTGTTACTTATTTATTATTATTTATCCGCAGCGCACGATATTGTTAATATGAGCCGCATTTTGAAAATGAGAGACAAACTGAAAGGCGGCAACAGGCGGCAGCGTCGCCGACGCCGTCGTCAGCGCAGACGTCAACGCCGACGTCGACGCCAACGCGATTGCGAGTCGCTCTCTTGTTTTTTTCCTTTCTTTGCTCTCCCAACTGATAACACCAACCGCAAAATAGAATAATCGCAAATAATAACGAAAATCGAGAGTAATTCCAATACAATCTGCTGGTTGTTATAAATATTATTCACTTCTTTATTTGTCAGCAGAGATCACTGAAAAGAGAGCAAGCGGCAATGGCGTGGGCGATCTCCTCTCACTCGCTCTCTCTGTCCCACTCCCTCTAGACCGTGCATCATGAGCGCAAAATAAGAAAATCAGAATTACATATTTTGAGCAGCAAAAACAAAGTGTTGCTGCGACAAAAAATAGCAACAAATTAAAAAAAATCTGCTTGCTCAGAACTGTGTGTAAATGCAAATGTGTAAGTAAGAACATGTGGGTGCGTGTGCGGGCGATCGTTTTTAGCAAACATCGAAACCGTGTCCAAAAAGTCAAAAACAATTAAATATATAAAAGGGGTGTCGAATTAAAATTTATGTAAATTATAAATTGCAAGGGTTTCAAAAATGTTTACACGAACCCACAACTGCGTTCACTGGAAACAAATTTTTCTCCTTTGTATAATTTAAAGTTATATTTAAAAAAGGCTCAAGAAAAATTCAGAGCAATTTTGGTTAATAAATTGATTTTAAATAAAGTTTTAATTTTTTAAGGTACTGTTAGCTGGCTTTAATATATTACTTACCGCTATACCTTGGGATTGCGATTCTTACAGATAATATAAATGTCCATGACGTTTTAGGTGCAATATTCTGAGTTAGCCGGAACTAAAAAAATTACCTTTAGACACCCCTGACTAAAGTGTAGGTGATATATTCACACCGTGGCCATGACAACCACTGTGCATTGAAAGCCTCTCTTTCCTGCAAACCAAAAACAAAAACAGGTTTATGTGTGCGGACAGTGTGTGCGAGAGAGAATGGGAGAACCAGTGGCTGTGATGTTTTTTATATTCTGGCAACGCATTTCGCATAAATTACAAATTACAAAGCATAAATGCAAGTGCAGGGGCGGCAGGGACAACCAGCTGCACCCAGAAAAAGGGCAATAAGATTCGGGATACCGATAGCCGATTCCATTCCCGATTTTCCTGGCCAAGGGACCCCAAAACCAGCCTTGCATAACGAAACACGTGCAACAAAACTATGGCTGATTGTCAACCTCTGCTGCAATTTAATTGTTGCAGCTAAGGTAAAGTAAAGTTAAAAAAAGGGGGCGACAAGTGCTGCAGAGAGTTAAAAAAAACTAAAAGAGCGCATGCGCGCACTTCTCCCTGTCTCTTTCGCTCTTTTGCGTTGCATTATTACAACTCGTGTAGGATTTTTATGAATGAATGCGCTGGTATGTGTGAGGTGCATGATTCCAGTGGAAAACTAGAAAAAATGCGGATTAGAAAAGCGTAGAAAACACACATGACCAACAGGCCAACTCAAGTGGTCAGCAGCTGTTTTAAAATAACAACAAATAAAGCATTTTATGTCAATTTACATATTAATAGAAACGCCTAAGAAAATAAACTATTCTATTACAAAGTGGCTCCGATTTGTATGGTTAAACTAGTTTTTGAATAGCTTAATAATATTAACCATAAGTTATTATATATATGTATATATAAATAACAAAAATAAATAAAAAGAAAACTGTGGTTGCATTTTTGTTTAGATAATTCAATGCCACTTTGTGCACATGTTGTTTTTATTTGGTGATCTATAAAGTTATAAGTTAAACTTGGCAATAAATGTAATGTAATTGTTCCTTAAAATTCATTTTTAAAACGGTGAACTAGTAATTTTATAAAAATTGTAAATTATTTTTAAGCAATTTCAGCTTACAGGCAATGGCAACAATTCCCAAAATTTATTCTATTAAGATTGTAAATATTTAAATAAAATTTGTTTCTATACTTCACAGACTACATTTTCAAAAAATCCTTGGTTGGCGCCAACCGCTATGTCTTCCAGTGTTGTGCAATCACTTTTTGCAAGTATTTCTCACAACGCGTTAGTACATTTTCGCGACTTTGCAGATTTTTGGCGGCAAATATATATTTACATTTATTTTATTTATTATTGCGAGGCAGCACGGAAATGGCAGAATCCGGAAAAGGAAAAGTGCTGCAGAATACCGGTAAATTCGTGAGCGAGAACCGTACAGAAGGGTGAGTTGTAAAATTACCTGAAAGTCAAGATCTACATGGTTTTTTTCCTTCTCTTGTTTTTAGCGACGACTTCTTCAATGAGGCGGGCTATCGTCAATCCCGGGAGAACGACAAAATCGACTCGAAATATGGCTTCGATCGGGTTAAGGATAGTCAGGAGCGGACGGGCTATCTCATCAACATGCATTCGGTAAGTTGAAAACCATTTAAAACCGTAAGGGCTCGCTTTAATAATAGCCATTCCCCCGCAGAACGAGGTGTTGGATGAGGATAGAAGACTCATCGCTGCCCTGGATCTGTTCTTCATCCAAATGGATGGTTCCCGCTTCAAATGCACGGTGGCCTATCAACCGTATTTGCTTGTCCGTCCGGAGGACAATATGCACCTGGAAGTGGCTCGCTTTCTGGGTCGCAAGTATTCCGGGCAGATCTCCAGCCTGAAGCACATCAGCAAAGAGGATCTGGATCTGCCGAATCATCTGTCAGGCCTGCAGCAGCAGTACATAAAGCTGTCCTTCCTGAATCAAACAGCCATGACCAAAGTCCGGAGGGAACTAATGGCCGCCGTGAGGAGAAACCAGGAGCGCCAGAAATCAAACACCTACTACATGCAAATGCTGGCCACCTCGTTGGCCCAATCCTCTGCCGGCTCCGAGGACTCCACGCTGGCCAAGAGGCAGCAGGATTACATGGACTGCATTGTGGACATAAGGGAGCACGATGTGCCCTACCACGTTAGAGTGTCCATAGATCTGCGCATTTTCTGCGGTCAGTGGTATAACATCAGGTGCAGGAGTGGTGTGGAATTGCCCACCATCACCTGTCGACCGGATATCCTGGACAGACCCGAACCCGTGGTTCTGGCCTTCGACATAGAAACCACCAAGCTGCCCCTCAAGTTTCCCGATGCCCAAACGGACCAGGTCATGATGATCTCCTACATGATCGATGGACAGGGCTATCTGATCACCAATCGGGAGATAATCTCCTCGAATGTAGATGACTTCGAGTACACACCCAAGCCGGAATTCGAGGGAAACTTTATTGTGTTCAACGAGGAGAACGAGATGCAGTTGCTGCAGCGCTTTTTCGATCACATCATGGAGGTGCGTCCGCACATTATAGTGACATACAATGGTGATTTCTTCGACTGGCCCTTTGTGGAGACGCGCGCTGCTGTCTACGATCTGGATATGAAGCAGGAGATTGGCTTCTCCAAGCTGCGGGAAGGTAACTACCTGTGCCGTCCTTGCATACACATGGATTGCCTGTGCTGGGTGAAGAGAGATTCCTATCTACCCGTTGGATCCCAAGGTCTGAAGGCAGTGGCCAAGGCCAAATTGCGTTACGATCCCGTCGAGCTGGATCCCGAGGACATGTGCCGCATGGCCGTGGAGCAGCCCCAAGTGCTGGCCAATTACTCTGTCTCAGATGCTGTGGCCACCTACTATCTCTACATGAAGTATGTGCATCCGTTTATCTTCGCCTTAAATACAATTATTCCCATGGAACCGGATGAGATCCTGAGAAAGGGTTCCGGCACTCTATGTGAGACTTTGCTGATGGTGGAGGCCTATCATGCCCAGATTGTGTATCCCAACAAGCATCAGACCGAGCTGAACAAGCTCTCCAACGAGGGACATGTCTTGGATTCGGAAACCTATGTGGGTGGCCATGTGGAGGCCTTGGAATCGGGTGTATTTCGGGCGGATATACCCTGCCGTTTTCGTCTGGATCCTGCGATGGTCAAGCAACTTCAGGACCAGGTGGATGCAGTGCTGCGCCACGCCATCGAAGTGGAGGAGGGAATTCCCCTCGAGAAAGTTTTAAATCTGGATGAAGTGCGCCAGGAGATTGTTCAGGGATTGCAGGGCCTGCACGATATACCCAATCGCTTAGAGCAGCCTGTCATCTACCATTTGGATGTGGGTGCCATGTACCCCAACATCATCCTCACCAATCGCCTGCAGCCTTCGGCAATGGTAAGTGATTTGGATTGCGCTGCCTGCGACTTTAACAAGCCGGGAGTTCGCTGCAAACGCTCCATGGACTGGCTGTGGCGCGGAGAGATGCTGCCCGCCTCGAGGAACGAGTTCCAGCGCATCCAGCAGCAGCTGGAAACGGAGAAGTTTCCACCCCTCTTCCCCGGTGGACTGCAACGCGCCTTTCACGAGCTCTCCAAGGAGGATCAGGCGGCGTATGAGAAGAAACGCCTCACGGACTACTGCCGCAAGGCCTACAAGAAGACCAAGGTGACGAAACTGGAGACGCGTAATTCCACCATCTGCCAGAAGGAGAACAGCTTCTATGTGGACACGGTTCGAGCCTTTCGAGATCGCCGCTACGAGTACAAGGGCCTCACGAAAGTGGCGAAGGCATCGGTCAATGCGGCCGTGGCTTCTGGCGATGCGGCTGAGATTAAGGCCGCCAAGGGCAGGGAAGTGCTCTACGATTCGTTGCAGTTGGCCCACAAGTGCATCCTCAACTCCTTCTACGGCTATGTGATGCGGAGAGGAGCCCGCTGGCATTCCATGCCCATGGCGGGCATTGTGTGCCTTACCGGTTCCAATATCATCACCAAAGCCAGGGAAATCATCGAGCGAGTGGGTCGTCCGCTGGAACTGGACACTGATGGTATCTGGTGTATATTACCTGGTTCCTTTCCGCAGGAGTTCACCATTCACACGAGCCATGAGAAAAAAAAGAAGATCAATATTTCCTATCCCAATGCCGTGCTGAATACCATGGTCAAGGACCATTTCACCAACGATCAGTACCACGAGTTGAGGACGGATAAGGAGGATAATCTACCCAAATACGATATACGCGATGAGAACTCAATTTTCTTTGAGGTGGATGGGCCCTACTTGGCCATGGTTTTACCAGCATCCAAGGAGGAGGGCAAGAAGCTTAAGAAGAGATATGCCGTCTTTAATTTCGATGGTTCACTGGCCGAACTCAAGGGATTCGAGGTGAAGCGACGCGGTGAACTGCAGCTGATCAAGAATTTCCAGAGTTCCGTATTCGAAGCTTTCCTGGCGGGCAGCACACTTGAGGAATGCTATGCATCGGTGGCCAAGGTGGCGGACTACTGGCTGGATGTCCTCTACAGCAGGGGATCCAATCTGCCGGACTCCGAGCTCTTCGAACTGATTGCGGAGAACAAGAGCATGTCCAAAAAGCTGGAGGAGTATGGGGCTCAGAAGAGTACCTCTATATCAACGGCAAAGCGATTGGCCGAGTTCCTGGGCGAGCAGATGGTCAAGGATGCGGGTCTGGCCTGCAAGTACATAATATCCAAGAAACCCGAAGGAGCTCCCGTCACCGAGAGGGCCATTCCCTTGGCCATTTTCCAATCCGAACCGAGTGTTAGGCGCCATCACCTGCGTCGCTGGCTTAAGGATAACACCATGGGCGATGCGGACATTCGAGATGTGCTCGATTGGAACTACTACATAGAGCGGTTGGGTGGCACCATCCAGAAGATCATCACCATTCCAGCAGCGCTGCAGGGTTTGGCCAACCCGGTGCCCAGGGTGCAGCATCCCGACTGGTTGCACAAGAAAATGTTGGAGAAGAATGATGTGCTGAAGCAGCGCCGCATCAACGAGATGTTCACCAGCAGACCCAAGCCGAAACCCTTGGCCACCGAGGAGGATAAGTTGGCGGACATGGAAGACATGGCTGGCAGAGATGGCGGCGAGGATGCCGCAGGTCGTCCCATGGTCACAAAAAGGAAACGGGTTCAGCTGGAGGAGAACGACGCGGAGGAGGAGGAGGCGCAGCCAAAGCCCACCACTTGGCGTCAGGCTCTGGGCGCACCACCACCCATAGGAGAAACCAGGAAGACCATTGTGGAGTGGGTGAGATTCCAGAAGAAGAAATGGAAGTGGCAGCAGGATCAGCGCCAGCGGACTCGCCAAGCCAGCAAGCGAACGCGAAACGATGATCCTCCCGTGGTGAGGGCCCCAGGACCCACAGCTACCTTGGGTGGCTTTCTGAGACGAGCACAGCGTACGTTGTTGGACCAACCGTGGCAGATCCTGCAACTGGTGCCCATCGATGATCTGGGACACTTTACCGTGTGGGCTTTGATAGGCGAAGAGCTGCACAGGATCAAGTTGACGGTGCCCAGGATTTTCTATGTCAATCAACGGAGTGCAGCTCCCCCGGAGGAGGGTCAATTGTGGCGCAAGGTTAATCGAGTTCTGCCCCGATCCAGACCCGTCTTCAATCTCTACAGGTACAGTGTGCCGGAGAAGCTTTTCCGCGATAATTCGCTGGGTATGCTGGCGGATCTGGCCACGCCCGATATCGAGGGCATCTACGAGACGCAGATGACCCTGGAGTTCCGAGCCCTCATGGACATGGGCTGCATTTGCGGCGTGCAGCGCCAGGAGGCAAGCCGTTTGGCCCAACTGGCCACCAAGGATCTGGAGAACTTCAGCATCGAGCAGCTGGAGCAGCGCCCTCAGACACAAGTCAAGTATCTGGCAAGTGCCAGCAACCGACTGCGCAAGATCTACCTGTACCAGCACAACACGCCAACGGCCAAGAAGGAGATGTGGTCCCTGATCCTGATGCCCAGCAAGAAGGCCTACATCTTCGCCCTGGACACGGTGCGCGCCAACCAGATGCCCAACATGAGGCAACTGTATGCCGCCGAGCGTTTGGCGCTGCTCAAGAATCTGACTGCCGAAGAGCAGGCGAAGATCCCCGTGGAGGACTACACCTTTGAGGTTATCATAGAGGTGGATGTAAAGCAGATTTACCGGCACATCCAGCGCGCTCTGACCACCTACAAGCAGGAGCACCAGGGACCCACCATTCTGTGCCTGCAAACGGCGCTGGAGGCGCGCAAACTCAGCCTGGCCATGCCCATTCTGCTAGAGTTCCCCCAGGCCCAGATCCACATCTCCGACGATGCCAGCCTGCTGTCCGGCTTGGACTGGCAGCGTCAGGGTTCCAGAGCGGTGGTCCGTCACTTCCTGAATCTGAACAATGTGCTCGATTTGATGCTGGACCAGTGTCGCTACTTTCATGTGCCCATTGGCAATATGCCGCCGGATACAGTGCTGTTCGGAGCGGATCTTTTCTTCGCCCGCCTGCTGCAGCGGCACAACTTTGTGCTGTGGTGGTCGGCCAGTACCAGGCCGGATTTGGGTGGCCGGGAGGCGGATGACAGTCGACTGTTGGCGGAATTCGAGGAGAGCATCAGTGTGGTGCAGAACAAAGCCGGTTTCTATCCGGATGTTTGCGTGGAACTTGCCCTCGACAGTCTGGCGGTGAGTGCTCTGCTCCAATCTGCGCGGATTCAGGAAATGGAAGGCGCCTCCTCGGCCATTACCTTTGATGTGATGCCCCAGGCCTCGCTGGAGGAAATGATTGGCACCGTTCCGGCGGCCACGTTGCCAAGCTATGATGAGACGGCCCTCTGCTCGGCTGCCTTCCGCGTGATGCGCTCCATGGTGAATGGCTGGCTGCGGGAGGTGTCCATCAACAGGAACATCTTCTCCGACTTCCAGATTGTCCACTTCTATCGGTGGGTGCGCTCCAGCAATGCCCTACTGTATGATCCTGCGCTGAGACGATCCCTCAACAATCTCATGAGGAAAATGTTCCTGCGCATTATAGCGGAGTTCAAGAGACTGGGCGCCACCATTGTGTATGCGGACTTTAACAGGATCATCCTGAGTTCCGGCAAGAAATCCGTCTCCGATGCCCTGGGCTATGTCGATTACATTGTGCAGAGCTTGAGGAACAAGGAGATGTTCCACTCCATCCAGCTGAGCTTTGAGCAGTGCTGGAACTTCATGCTCTGGATGGACCAGGCCAATTTCTCTGGAATAAGGGGCAAGCTACCGAAGGGTATTGATGAGACGGTCTCCTCCATTGTTTCCACTACCATGCGACGGGATCCGGAACGCAATGAAGACGAGGAGGAGGAGGACGAAGAGGAGGATTTGGAAAACCGAGATCCAGTTGAAGGCAACGAACCGGAGCAGGATCAGGAGGATGAGCTATCGCTAGAGCTCAACTGGACTATTGGCGAGCACCTGCCCGATGAGAACGAGTGTCGGGAGAAGTTTGAATCCCTCTTAACCCTGTTTATGCAATCCCTGGCCGAAAGGAAGACCACGGAGCAGGCCATCCGCGACATATCACACTGCGCCTTCGACTTCATCCTTAAGCTGCACAAGAACTACGGCAAGGGCAAGCCCAGTCCGGGACTGGAGCTCATTCGCACGCTGATCAAGGCGTTGAGTGTGGACAAGACACTGGCGGAGCAGATCAACGAGCTGCGACGGAATATGCTGCGCCTGGTGGGCATCGGTGAGTTCTCGGACATGGCCGAGTGGGAGGATCCCTGCGACAGCCACATCATCAACGAGGTCATCTGCAAGGCCTGCAATCACTGCAGGGATCTGGATCTCTGCAAGGATAAGCATCGTGCCATGAAGGATGGAGTGTGAGTACAAGGGCCTTGATCTGCAATTCAAATTATTTAATTTTGTTACATCTTTTAGACCCGTTTGGCTTTGTGCCCAGTGCTATGTGGCCTATGACAACGAGGAGATCGAGATGCGAATGTTGGACGCGCTGCAGCGCAAGATGATGTCTTATGTGCTGCAGGACTTGCGCTGTGCTCGCTGTAGCGAAATCAAGCGCGAGAATCTGGCCGAGTTTTGCACCTGCGCCGGCAACTTTGTGCCCCTCATCAGCGGCAAGGACATCCAAATTCTGCTCGGTACATTCAGCAAGGTTGCTGCAAACCATAAGATGCAGTTGCTCCAGCAGACAGTCCATCAGGCACTGAACACGCCGCGATAAGATGTTGTTAATTTGTAGTATGTAGGATCTAATTATAAGTCTTACTTCTAATAAATATATTGTTAAAAAAAATTAATGTTAGTTGTGGTTGTGTGATATGATATTCTGAGATAACTCTCTTTAGTTTATCTTGATTCCGTCAAGACCTTTTTTTAGGAATTAAGTTTCATAAAGAACTTTCTTCCTTTGATGTAGATCGTTACTTCTCACGAAAGTTATTAAACAAAATTATAATTTAGATGTCTAGTTTTGCGATACTAACACTTTTTGAAAGCAATACGTTTAGATATGATTATGAGATGACACACTGTATAATCCTCTGAGATTCACACACTTTTGATGATTTTTACAAACGTTTCGCTTGTCGTTTTCCCGATTTTATTGGTTGTTGCTAACGTAGGACCCGTGGTTTTGTAGGCGCACAGACGAAATCAGCAGCAGAACTTAAAGCAATTAGACTAACTCATAGGCGAGGTTCGATCTTTACTGAGCGGCCTGGGTAATGGGGTCCACCTTGACCTCGGGGAACTTGAATTCGGGGAACTTCAGCATATCGGTCTTGCCATCGCTTCCAAACTGCTTGGCCACACGGTCCAGTTCGGTCTTGAGCTCGCGTTCAATCTGGGGATTGGAGTCCACCAGCTTGCCACCACTGGGGGTATGAAAACAAGTGATTACTTCAAGGACTTAATCAGGATTTGTGATCATGAAACTCACGCGCTCTTCTGCTTGTACTCGCGCACCTTGTCCAGGAACAGCTGCTGGATGGGATCGGCGGCCTTGTTCAGGGCGGGGGCCACGATTCCGAAGTTACGACGGGCCTCGGTGCGCAGCACACGGACACCACTCAGCAGGGATTGCGACAGCATCTGAAAAATAAAGAACTTTGTTATAGTTCGGCTTCCCTCATATGTAACCTTAAAAAGGTTATGTAATGCGATTTGTTTTTTTGCGGGTTTCTGAAGGTTTTCGGCGCTGAATTTGCCAGTGAGTTATACAATTCGTCGATCCACATACCGTGAATTATATTGATTATAATATAACTACTTTTGTTACCTTATTTTCCTTGGCAAATGCAAGCTTTCGTGCGGAAAAGTCTCAATTGTCGGTTCACAATGACAGTTGGGATTAGGGATGGGCACCTTATCGATTATTAAGGAAAGACAAACTATCTGTTTGGCAAGTTTTGCTGTTCAATCAAAACAATAAACAAAATAAAACTAAATTAATTTAAATTTCAAATATATCTATCTCGGTGTCTCAGATTTTTTCTTAATAAATCTTAAAGTTTAGTTTTATTTGTTAAAATTTAATTTCATTCAAAGATATATCACAAATTATATCGCGGTACGTGCCCATCACTACCTTAAAGAGACCAGTTTGTAAATATTACCAACTCTAAGAAAATAAGTATGACTACCTGACGCTATCCATGCTTGGTCACACTGATCGTCCAGGTTCCACGTCAAGCGCCGGAAAAAAACACGACAACTTGCATTTATTTAATTTACTTGGCGACCGGACGAACGGATTTCGAGCAAGATGGTGAGCCTGGTGCAGGAGATCGACACGGAGCACGAGGACATGGTCCACCACGCGGCACTGGACTTCTACGGCCTGCTGCTGGCCACCTGCTCCTCAGACGGCAGCGTCCGCATCTTCCACTCGCGCAAAAACAATAAGGCGCTGGCGGAGCTCAAAGGACACCAAGGACCCGTGTGGCAGGTGGCATGGGCTCACCCCAAGTTCGGCAACATCCTGGCCTCGTGCTCCTACGACCGCAAGGTGATCGTCTGGAAGTCCACAACGCCCAGGGATTGGACTAAGCTGTAAGTAAACGCACACTGGCAGGGGCACACCCACACAAACAAAACGTTTAATTTGCAAGGGGAATCGCCTATAGAGTGCCCATTAATTAAAGGCTTTTATGCTTTGGAATTCGGAAAAAGAAAATGGTATAGATCTAGGAATTTAGATGATTAATGAGATCTTTTTTAAAATAGAGAAGGGAATTTTGAGTACCCATTTAACAATTGAAATTTTTCAAATGGATCAATCTAGCATATAAAGTAATATTTCAACTACAATTTTAAACATGTTACTTCTCTGTACTTATAATTCTTTAACGGAGGGATTCTTGAAAGTTGTTTATCTCATTTGATTTGCAATCAAGGAACCGCAATCATTAAAGGGTAATTACAGCTTTTTCCGTAATTAAAATTTCCACTTATCACTCAAAAACACTCTGGTGTTCAAGAGAACAGGGTACCAAAACGCACACACCCGCACTTGCCCCAACATCAACTACATATGTCATACATATGTTTAGACTGGTGTTATCACTTAAAGTCTGCCACATCTAACCTTTGCGCTTGCCACATTTCAGCTATGAATACAGCAACCACGACTCGTCGGTGAACTCGGTGGATTTCGCCCCATCGGAGTACGGATTGGTGCTGGCCTGTGCCAGTTCGGATGGCTCCATTTCGGTGCTCAGCTGCAACACGGAGTACGGTGTGTGGGATGCCAAGAAGATACCGAATGCCCACACCATCGGAGTGAATGCTATATCTTGGTGCCCGGCCCAGGCTCCGGATCCGGCATTTGACCAGCGGGTAACCTCGCGATCGTCAGCCGTAAAACGCCTGGTGAGCGGTGGATGCGATAATCTGGTGAAGATCTGGCGCGAGGACAACGACCGCTGGGTGGAGGAGCAGCGCCTGGAGGCGCACTCCGATTGGGTGCGCGATGTGGCCTGGGCGCCGTCGATTGGCTTGCCACGATCGCAGATTGCCACAGCCTCGCAGGATCGCCATGTGATCGTGTGGAGCAGCAACTCGGATCTGACACAGTGGACTTCAAGTGTGTTGCACACATTCGACGATGCCGTGTGGAGCATCTCGTGGTCCACCACCGGCAACATTCTGGCCGTCACTGGTGGCGATAACAATGTGACGCTGTGGAAGGAGAACACCGAGGGCCAATGGATCCGCATCAATTATGAGTCGGGCACGGCCATCCAGTCTAAGCAGCCATCGCTCCATCCTCATTCCCACTCCCAGCAGCAGCAACAGGCGCCACAGCAGCACCAGCACCAGGCGCCATCGCATCCTGGTCCATCTTCGGACTCGGAGCACAGCTCGAACCTATCCAACTCGCAGCTCTCCAACTGAGCAATCCCTGATGAAGTTCTAAAGTCGTGGTCTAAAGTGTTATCTTACAAATATATACTATACGAAATACAAAATAATGTTTCCCCTCTAAACCTTTGTTGTGTTATTCTCCACGGATATTAAGTTACTTGCACTTATGAACCCTTGATGCAAGGCATTAAAATTAAATTTTTACAAAATTCACATTTCCCTATCAATCCACTTATTGCTTTTTGTTTTAGATGATCTAACTGTTTTATTTTTCAAATCTATGCTATTTATATTGTGTCGATATTTTGTCTTATATACATACAAATTAGATTAGCTTTATTAAACTGTACCAGAAATAAACCACTTAATCGCTGTAAGAAATTTGTAACATTTGAATAATTCGAGTGTCGCGCCATTCAGTCTTGCATCATTTACCTTCTGTAAGTAATAAAATGTCCTATGTTAAAAGATAAGCGTTGCAGAACTACAGAATTAGCAGGCTGCGCTAATTTAACCGTAACTATAACTCTTTTTATAATTCGTTGTTAATAAATTTTTTCCCGATAAACATATACTCCTCAAATTTGACTTTACAGTAAATAATGCGGGATGGGATACTAGTGTTTTGTTATTGCCATGACCTATTAAAGAAGGCATTTGCCAACACTGGTTTTTAACTATTTTGCTGTTTTAAGGAATACCCCTTACATTTTTGTGGTGATAAAAACTTTTCAGAGTCCGACGGTCACACTGTATTATTGTATTATTATTGCAATTTTATCCAATTTTAACCAATTTAACGCAATCAGAGGATTCCTGCGTGGTTTTCCAAGCCAACTAAGGTTACTTCAATTCAAGGTAAACAGGTAAGTCACGAAGCAGGCCTAGCTATATGGAAATGGGCCAAACCAAACCCAAAAACACCCCGATTCGGGACTGCTGGAAAAGGCAAGGCCAGCTGCCCATTTGGGATTGGAATGCTCCATCTCCAGTCTCGCGATGATTGTCCTAAACCAAATGCACCGGGCGCTGCAGAGCGAGGCCATTCATGCGGTTTTCCGTCTTTTCAGCGACGACATGTCCCAAGGAGGCGGCGCTACACCAGCGGGCGGTAATCCCACGGCGCTCCAGGCATCCGGAGGGGGCGTGGTTTTCAGCAAGGTCTTCATCCAACGCGACTATAGCGAAGGAACCTCGGTGAAGTTCCACACGCGACTGCCCACGGAGCTGGAGGGCATGGTGAGCTTTTTGTCTGAACTTTAGCTCCAAAACTGTAGTTATATATCTTATTAACTTACAGATTGAAAGACACGTCTTCGAGGCCACCATCAACAGGCTAAACGAATTCTATGCCGAAGCGGAGGAGGGATCCTGTGGCACCTACTGCGAAGGATGCATTGGCTGCATCACGGCCTACTTGATCTACATGTGCTCCGAAACGCACTACGAAAAGGTGCGTCATTTGGGCGGGTACTTTCCACATATAAGGTCAAAACAATAGCCTCCTACAAAGCATAATATAAGTCATGCTTTTATTGGTGTTTAAAAGCATGACTTATATTATGCTATGCAACTATTAACTATGCAACTGTTTATAATGATTCATTATCTATGTAGATAACTCTAGTTTTATTTTATTTTATTTTAAAAACTATAAGTTCCTTAAAATGGCAATTTGTCAAAAAATAACATTAAATTATACTTCAGGAAAAACAAAATAATTAAATTAACTTAAAACTTTCTAAAGGATTAGAAACAGTTTATAGCAACAGCCACAAATCTTGAAAGCGTAACAAACTAATTTATATTTCTGAACAAGTGCTCAAGTAAAATGCTTAAAGAAATTCTCTAACTTGCAGCATTATTGATTTCACCAATACCTGAACTTACCATCCCCAAAAATATGTTTTGCCACCCCCACAGACCCTTCGCAAAATATCCAAATTTGTGGCTTCCCAAAACGAACGCATTTACAACGCCAAGGGCCTGCAGCTAATCGATCCGACTTATCGGGGCCTTCGCGTCATAGAGATTACGATATTCGATCGTCCGGGGCGGACGTGACTTCCGCTTTCCCATTCGGCCAACGAGTTTTTCATGTGAGATCAACCAGCCACAGTCGCATCAACAGGAAGATGAAGGAGAAGTGTCCGTGTTTCACCAATTATCAAGCAAAAGTCAGCGCCATTGTGTGTGTTTCCAAGAAAGAAAAAAAAAACAAAAATCACTACAAAGCTGTGGAATCAGCTAAAGCTTTATAACCAATAACCATATGTGTGAGTGGCTTAAAATCTCCTATATTGCCTCAGATAGCTAATGAATTTCCACATCCTTTCCAGCTTGGCAGAGCAGCGGCCAGAGCTTCGGGGCATGCGACTTAGTCACCGGTGTGCTGGGAGTCCTCCTCCGCTGCAGCCACATACGATATGCTAGATTAGTCGTTAATGATTAGCCAAGGCAGTGTACGGCCAGTTAGTTAGTATTTATGCATTAGCGGGCATAGTCATTTAAGTGAAAAGCTACCGAAAATGCATTTTGTGCCGAAGCAAGCATCAACATATACACACATTCGCATATGTTATCATTGTTCTACTTATCAGACCGGGAGGCGAGCAAGAATTGATTTTTTTGTAATTTGAAAAAAAAAACAAAAGAAATTTGTATACATCTTGTTTGCAGTAGTTACTAACCATTCGATTGTCTTAAGTTTTAATTTTAATGGCATTACCATACATAAATACATTGTTCAAGCTTAATCAGACAAAGCATACGCATAATGTTTTCTATAAAAAACTCTTACCGATTTCAAACAGCGCCAAATGAACTTACCCTTAGACAAGTGGAGAACTGTTCGATTTTTAATATAAATCAGCAACATTGATTAACATAGTTAAATATCTTATAAGTAAAAATATATATTGCCGTCATATTTAAAAATGCCTACAAGTGTTTTCTTGCGGTGGGTAAACATCAAACGAAAAGTAAACATTTGGAAAGCAAAATGTGTTGTGCAAAATTGGTTTTGCAGATTTTTCTTTGTATTCTAATATTTACCTTTTACTGCGGTTATTTTTTCGTTGTCTAGTATTATCCGAAGTATTCGGAATACAGTCACTATTGTTTCACAGCAGAACAATGAAGCTAGCAATTATATATTTTCTATGTTTTTGGGGTCGTTAACAGAAACTGTTTATAACCAGCTTAGTACTTCTATTGAAAGTACTAGTTACCCATGACATCTAAATTTAGATTTTTAGCATTTGGTTAAAGGGTTCTGTGTGTCACCTACAAAATTTCTTAATTGTCAAAATGTAGTTTTTAGTGTTTAAAAATTTGTTTTTATTCAAATCGCAATAAACAAAATCTAACTTGCGAACACACTTGGCTTTTGTTGGTTTTCTAGTACACAGCGTGCATGCCAACATATTAAATATAATTTCATTTAAGTCTAAATAAATATGAATCTTATTATTGTACCTTTGCGGAAATGAGAAAAAGTCCAGAGACATTTTTTTTATCAACATTTCTAAGATTTGCTATTTGTATATTTTTCTATATATTTTTTTAAGCAACAAATTCAAACGGTCTTTCCTCTCTATAAGATGACTACACCAGCTCTTCCCTGCGGATTTTCATTTTCCTCCAGCGCACCAAAAAACTATAATATAACATTAAATAATAGGTTCTTGTCCAGGTTCCGTGGTTCCGTTTAGTTCATATCATTCGGATTTAATTCCAGTTTACTTTCCCGCATCGTTCATGTTCTTGGGCAGACTCAGCAGCGAATTAATGAGCTCCGAGTTGCGTTTTCTAATAGGCACCGATGGGACCAAAGAGTTGTCCAGAATCAGGGGATAGCGGCACAGGTTGGCCACCTGGTTGGGAGTTAACAGTCCTATGGTATTGAACCAGTCCATTAGGTCCCGGTTGTATTCCTTGCGCACGTAGCGCTCCTCATCCGGCATGGCCATGGCGCCGGTGTGTCCGCATCGGGAGCAGATGGCCAAAAGCACCAGGACCAGGACGTACGTGTAGCGAGCCATTTGCCTGAGGAGTTGGAAGGGAAAAGGCCGGAACAGGAACAGAGCACGGGACACCTGCAGCAGGAGACTTGCGAATGAACGATGCTTGCAATATTCTCGACTTTTATAGGATCCCGGACCTGGGAAAACCTCAGCGGGAGACCGCGCAACCACGCAACCCTGCAACCCAAAGGCGTCAGTATCGGTGTCATCTGCAGGACCAATACATGTCATACGCAGTCCTTGCTGGTCCTCGAAGGCAGGAAAATACGGAGTCGAGTTGGATCCACGCAAATATTTGATTATGCAGTGTTTTATGTGCCAACATGCAGGCAGCCAGGAACCAAATCCCATTCGGTTACAGGAATGTTTGTTCGGGAATGGAGCTTATTGGCGACACTCTCCTTCACTTAGCAAAAAATGGGTTGTTAGCAAAGGCTAAACAACTAAACTAGGTAAAATTATCTGTACTAAAAGCTACAGAACTGCTTACAAAAATAATATCTGGATTTCCATGCCTTTTTACTCGGGATTACTACTCATATTAAGTTTGTACACCTTAACATTTTTAATACAATACAATATTACAGCGATATATTCAAAGCGACACTAAATTGAACTTACTGTTTTTAAAATTCGGCTTAAAGTTGTTCGATAAAATAAATAAAATGTGTATATAATGTTACAAAAAAGGAAATAAAGCCAATCTCCATCTAAAAACCCTTAAATAGACAATTATTTTCTCTTAGTGTAAGGTGTGATTAATTTTAGAACAGCCAGTCGTAAAAATAAAAGCCAGTGTTTAATATCTAATTTAATAGCTGTTGGCTTGCTTTGCAAAATTCCAGTTTTTTCTTTTGTTTGATCACCAGACTGTGTAAATATGGCCAAAAATTTTTGCGCAGACGTAATTGGCGATAGCATAATGCCACATATTTGTTGAGCAAATCCACCGATTGTCTTGGCCAGATATAAAACTGGCAGCAGCCGTAATGGCGGGCAGCAGAGCAGCAGCATCGCACATCCCAAGATGAATGCAGGACCATTGGCACTGAGAATCCTGGCCGTTAGCCTTTGCATTTGGCTAGCCAGTGGAGCCTCCTCTCCGACAACCACAGAAGCAGCAACAACAACAACCAGCACCACCACAACAACGACGGCGGCCACCACAACCACCACAACATCCTCGTCGAATGTCCATCGCAAACGGTTTCGCATCAAGAACTTCAAGTACTCCGTTAAGCGCAAGGTGAAGGTGTATAGAAGCACCACTTCGAGTTCCCGGAGCAGGAGCCGATCGGGCAGGCGCGTCACTGTCCGTCGAGTCAACAGGCTGCTCAGACGCCGCAATCGGGGATAAGATTCTAATTCCAAACATATCACATAAAGCAATAAAAGCCTTTTTCCAAAGTACCAAGTTTTTACTACAATATTATTCAATATATTATTATTTAAGGAAAAGTAAGTAAGCTTACTATTAGATTTTATGATAAGAGATTAATTGAGAACATATTTTTTATCAAAAACATTTGTACGTGGTGTACAGGATGTATAGATAATACACATATATAATATTATATATAATTGTCTTACACAAAACTTCTGTATAAAAAATGATTTTTCTGAACTACCTTGATTTTAAATCATTGATGTTTGGTTTATATTTAATCTCGCACACTTTTTGAGTTTGATATAACCAAAAAAGTGGAAAAAGATTTAGATTTTTTTAATTATAGACTTTACAATGTGGTAAATACTCCTAACAAACCAATATTTATTATTTAAAGTCAACATAGATAAGTCCCAAAGTCTTTTAGGATTTTTGGAAAATACTCAACACCCAAATTATAAAACTATGTTATTATTTTTAGCCATAAGCCTACATCTAATATACTATACAAGCAGTAAGTTTTTCACATCTAAGTCCTATCACTTGTTAACTTTCTTTGTCCCAATCAACAGGTTGTTCGTCTAGCATGGCTGTGCGCAGTCAGACCATGGCCATGTCATCCTTTAGTCCCGCTCAATGACTTCACGTGCGACAAAAACATTGACCCAACTTTGCCCACATAAACGTAAACATCGGCTATATCTTGGCGGGGTGGTTTTACGATGACTATAACTTTCCTTGCAGCTACATTACCACCATTTTTGATGGCCAAGGCTGGGCGTCGCTTTCACTCCGGCGATTTGTTTGCACTGCATTTGTGACCAGACCAGACCCAAAATCCGGTGGGCGGAGCACGCTTGTTGGTCCTCCGTTCATCGTTCAACGTTCGTAGTCCACCGTTTTGCTGTCTTAAAAGTCAGCTGAAGCATTTAACGGTCGTGTGATTTCTAGGTACACATACGGATAGCACGCATGGGTTCGATTTCGTTTGGGATGTCATTACCAGGAGCGTTTTAGTCGAAAAATGTTGAGAAACATTGAAAAAATTGCAAGTATTAAGTATTAAAAAACAAATTTTAAAACTAGTATACTACTTTTTAGTCTTTAACAATAATAATTCAGACTGGGAGAAATTTAATACTTACTTATCAACAAAACAAAATACCTCATAGAATAGAGTCAGATGCATTTTTTCTATTTTATTTCCTAAGGTTTCTTTACTCATTTTGATTTGTTTTGGGATTTTAACATTTGTGATCAGGTCCATTGTATGCAAAGTCAAAAAATTAGAGAGCTGTTTTTTTTTTAGCAAAAATCATACCAAATCTTAAAAAAGAAATCAGAATGTTTAAAGAGGTTTTAAATGTGACACAAATTTTCTCGGGAAGATATACTTATTAATACTTATTATTAATCATAAGACTTTTTTGTACGTATTATGTAGTCCTTTAGTTCGCCCCTGGACAAACCCAAGATGATTCGACCTGAACGCACACAGGGACATCAGGGCAGGGGTCCGCGGCCATTCACCAATTACGCGCCATTCGCTGCGGTGTCCTTAATTTCTTAAAAAGCGTTTAAACATCTAATGAAAGCATTTGGGGGCCCAGCGATTTCTGCTGTCGGACGACTCAGTTGCGTTTGCCTTTTCGCCGTGTGCGGTTCGGTCTTGTTTGGTCCTTTGGCCCTTCGGTGCTCCAGGGAGTTGTGGGGAGCGACCATCGCAGGATTATGTCATTGCAGCTATGGCCAAGATAATCTCGACGATCAAGGCCATCCTCACGAGGATCATCTTCAGTGCGCACAGTTTGCTAGCCATTTGGCAAGTGGTCGCCTTGAAGAGTGATATTATATACTGGGCATTATGTGGACCACTCTTGTTGCTGCTGCTCGAGGGCATCTTCACCATCATGATCAAGAAGACACAGGAGTGGCGCTGGTAAGGATCAAACCAACAGATCCTGGACATTACGATCTGGTGCATCTTGTTACCCGAAATGTAAACAACAATCGGCCGAAGTTGACGTCATGCAGCGGGCTTTGATTTTCAATTAAAAGTGAAATCATGTGTTTAATGTGTGGCTAAACTGACCACCCACTTCTACAGTAACCACTTACTCGGCGGCCGCACCCCCACACTCAAAAAAATAAACTTTCTGTGGTTTAATAAAAAAAAAAAAACAAATTTAATCACTTTTAAATTTTTAGAATTAAAAAATTGATTTAAGTAATGAAGTCAAAAAGATGTGTTCGGTATTTAAAAGCTTTTAAATTCGTTCGCCCTTTTTTAAATTGATTTTTATTAAGTTTACGGTGCTATGCAGCTACTTTTTGATTTTTGTGATTTGATTCCTTAATAATCCAATCTAACACCTTGTTTAATTTATAGAAAAAATTAATATGTTTGCTATTTTAAGAATCCGATGACGTGAACTTAAATTTAAAACTGGCTTACCTTTCAACGTTTTTAGTTCGAGTTTATTAGAGAGTTATTATTATAATCTACATTGAAATTTTTTAATGTATGGCAACCTATATTTTGTTATACTTATTTTGTGTAGCTTACTGTGATTTTTGCTTAGATTGTTTTGTGTCCACCCCACGCGCCGAAATAGTGAAAACTTTAATGGAATTCTGTGTGGAGCGGGTGGGTTTGGATGGAGGAGGAGTGGTCTTTCGATTCTTGTTTACCTTTTGTCGCATCACTCAGACTTGTTCTTTGTTTTGGCTGGTCCGTCGTGCCACCTTAATTTTGTCCTTTTCACGCAGGTTCTGCCCCTCGGTGTTTCTCTATCTGAGCAGCATTGTGCCGGCGATATGGCTTCTGGAGTTGGACAAAGTGGCTCGGCGAGTGGTCAACATGACTGGGAGCAACTCCACTTTTTCCAATCCGAGCAACTACAGTTTGGCTGGGGGCAACGTGACTAGCTTGAACCCAAGCTCTAATAACAGCAGCGGAGTTCCTCCGGTGGCAACACTGTTGGGACAAGCCGGGGTCACCCTCTCGGTGACCCCGGACACCTGGACAACCCTCATCGAACAGTTCCTCATGCTCATCCTGATCGTCGGCCGCTGGCTGCTGCCCAAGGGTGATCTAACCCGGGATCAGCTGAGTCAACTGCTTCTGGTCTACATTGGCACGGCTGCAGACATTATTGAGTTCTTCGATTCCTACAAGGATGACTCTATAGCAAGGATTGACTTTCTCGTGTTCCTAACGCTGGGCATTTGGTCCTGGAGCCTCATGCAGTTCACAATTGTGCTATCAGCCACTCGAGGACGACGACCACGGGGCAGTGGATCACATCACAAGGAGGAGTGAGTAAAATATTTTATTTATTCAGGAAAAAGCTTCGAATTTTGTCTGAGATTTTTATTTTGAATCAGGAAATGTACCTTAATATTTTATTCCACACATATTTGTTTAAAGAACCGTATATTTATTATAAACGTTATTAAAATGTAGCTAAAAATCTTTGGTAAAGATAAACGAAAAATGTGAATTGTTTTTATAAAGGGTAAGTTAATATTTTCGTATGCCAACGATGGGCTTGTTTACATTTTTTTTTTCTCACAACATTTTTTTTAACAGTATAATACTGTATACTTTTTGGGTAATCTCTTTGGAAATCTATTGAGATCTTGGAACACATAAATAACCTATCTTATCCAACTTTTATTATTCAGACACACGGACTGTTGCCAAAACTGCTGTTGTGGAATTGATGTGTGGGGAATCGTACTCAACGTGATTCTGCAGGATGCGCCATTCCTCACGTTTCGTTTGCTAATTATTTTTCAGTACAAAATCATTAACTACATGAATGTATTTTTCACCTGTAAGTTTTAATTGGAGATGTTTATGTCCCCATTTAATTTTGCTCTTAATTTTCAGGCAAGAACTCCTTGGTGATTATCCTGCAACTGTATCGACTATATGTGGTCAATGCCGAGTTTTGGAAGAATCGACGTGAGAGTAGGATGGCCAAGGCGCGTCAATTTCAATCTCGACGAAAAGTACAGGATGCTGATCAAAACAGTATATACATGATATCCAATGAAAGGGGTGGTGATGTAAAAAAGAAGATCAAAAAGTAAGTATTAAGGACATAACTTTAAATAAACTTAGATTGTAAAGATTTCACACATGTACATACAATTCTATATTTTAAAATTAAAATTATTTATTTGTGTGCCTTGATTTTAGGGCCAAAGACAAAGACTATGCAGAGCACGAGGCGGCGTACAGTAAGAAGAAAAAGGATAAGAAGGACAAGTGGGTATTTTAACATAGCTTCCTTAGTGATAATTTCGATTAACCAACTGATTTCAGGAAAAAGCGCAAGCGCAAGGACACCGGCTACTCCACGGCCAGTTCGCAGAACCTATACTCCACCAAGGCGAGTGGCACGGATAAGGAGTCCCGCCGCAAGGACAAAAAGGGCAAGAAGTCGAAGCGCACCTGCAGCAGTTCGCCCAGCGAATGCGACTTGGCCAAGAAGCAGAAGCGTGGCAAGAACGCGGATAAAAACGATAAGAAGTAGGTAATACCTCGGGATTTAAATGGTTATCCTATAACTAAATTCATCAAATCCCCACAGAAAATCTCGCAAAATTGAGGCTGTTGTGGAGGAGTCCAGCAGTTCGAGTAGCAGCAGCTCCGATTCCAGCAACTCCACATTGCCCAGCTACGAGGTAATCGACGAGAAGAAGGCCAGGCGCAGAAAGCACCGCGGAAGTAGTAGCGACACCAGTTCCGGGGACAGCAGCTCCTCCAGCTCCTCATCCTCCAGCTCGGACTCGTCGTGAAGAGGACACTTTTTTGGAACTAACGCCAGTCGTTAGGGCATCTATTTTTGAGGCAGTCATTTATGCTCATGTAAATGACTGCGGCACTCTGCTCCAGGAGGGCAGATCTTTGTAAGACCCCAATGGGCAGGTCGAAAATTGTATCATTAAAGCATCGAGCCCTAAACACGAAAATACACTAAGCCTACGTTTTACATATTGAGTAATGTAAGATATTTTTAAAAATGGTTGCCTAAAAATAGAAGTTATAGACCTTAAAGTATTTTTTGTATTACTATAACTCGTCAACTAGAACTAGACATAAATGAAATTGAAGCTGTGCCCAAAAAATTTTAAATAAGATCAGTCTGTGCAAACACACAAATTCGTAGTTTTCAATATCTTGAGGAATCCAATTGAAACCCCATCTAATATAAATATCAAATTAGAAATCTTAAATGTTCTAATGATTTTCCTCAAGCTAATTTTGTTTGCAATACAATTTGCGCTTATAAAGAAAATATTGAACAAATTTAAATTTAAATTAACAATCTACAAATGAACAACAAATTAACCAATACAAATAGAAGGCTTCCAAAAAAACTTGCTTTAATTATTTTCGTGGTCAGAGCTCGATATATTTTGATATATTTGTATAAACTAAAATATGGCATATTTGAATGGATAATAAAAACGCGGGCTGCACATCAATGAGTTGGCAGCTCCGCCTTGAATACTATAGAGTTCTCTTTGTAGGGGGCTCTCTTGGATCTCTTAGCTGTAATGACGTATTGGGGGCTACCCACTGTATCGCTCTCTTTAGCTCATAAAAAGCTTAGCAACGCGAACAGCTGCTAAACTTTTGTTGACACACAGATAGCTCCGCTGCTATATGTATATGTATTTGTGTAGGAAAGGGGGGTTTGTTGAAGATTTTTTGTGAGCGCGTATTTTTGTAATAGCACTATAGCACAATAGTTGCCGCCGAGCGCCCAAACGCTGTGGACGCGTTTTTCGCTTCGTTTCTTAGTCGGGTTCGTTACGCTTTTGAAGCGAAGCGCCGCCGAGAGCTTTGTTGTTGTCGAGTGTGTAAGTTCAAGAGCGTGAGTGTGTGTGTGTGTGTGCGAGGGAGCGTGCTTTGTCGGATCCACTGCATATTTACTGTGATATATACATATATATGTATATACGTACGATATATGGTTCTGCCTATTAAGAAAAGTTCTTTAAAAGAACTCTTGAATAAATCACCAAGTGTTGTCTCTCAAAGTCCCCTTTTTTAAACCTCTTTGCATACTATTTGTATACCTTAACAAAACAACAACAAATAGTGTCACCCAAAAACTAAATTAACTATTAACAAGACCAGCAACAAAAAAAACCAAAAAAACTGTTGCCAAGCCGATTAAAATGTAAACGATAATAATGGAGGAGCTGGTGTGAATTCCGTATTTTTTCTTTGTGAATTATTCAATTAATACTTGTTACGAGGCTGACAAATGTTTGGCGAATGGATTCATCACAGATACAGTGTGCGAATTCCCTCGACAAATTGGCTCATCGTGGAATTGTACACCCCACACACACGGCCCATAAATGTATATTTAGGGGGTGGACGGAACTGGACCGGGGAATCACGAACTCAAAACACGTTCGCGGCCTTAAAGTTCAGAAATTATAGCTCCTTTGTCGGTTCATTTCGATTTCATTTCATTTACTTCTTTGGAGGCATTTTTACCTGGGCACGCATGCTGAAGGTTAAGGTGGCTTCGGGTTACACCTCCCACGCCCCCGCAACCCCTTTTGGCCTCGTCCACAACGTGTTGTTTTGTTTTCGCTCATTGCTGTTTTACGTTTTAACCACCCAAAACCGCCGTGGACAGCAGCTTTTGTTTGAGAACTATCTCGCTCTTAAAGGGAATCTATGAGAAAATGCAACGGCTCTTCGCTCTCATCTTGCCGGTTTTCAAATGAGAGACTCAGAGAATGTAAGCCGCAGTGGAAAAATCAGGAGAACGCGAGCTTAGCTACAGAGAGAAAAAACCATGGCAACGGTATTTTCTAAGATATAAGATATCTTAACACTCAAGATATAATAATATAAATCTCAAAGAAAGTTTTTTGCTGTGACCATGCGTGTTACAAATATCATATAAACAAGATTACAAACTGAAACGAACAGCTTTTTTCTTTGAATACATACATTTCTCATATGCTTCTACTCTTACCACAGAGACCAACGCATAGAATTATCTGCTCAATCATGTTATAGTTACTGATATTTGTGTACTGATTGATTTGATTGTTTTTGACGACTCAATTGATTGCTTGCATTATCAATTCATGTTCTTTCAGAATATAATTTTATTATAATACATATTATTTATTGAATTTCCATAGTTTTCTGTATAGCAACAAATCTCTCCTTGTAAAAATAGTTTATTTGTATCTTTATTCTGTTAAATTCATTTTACAAAAACAGCTTGTATTTTATCTGATGACTTTATTTCTTAGATGTTTTATGAATTTATCTATTTTTGTCACACCTGTCTGAAATTTTATTTACATGATTAATAATAAGTATGCCAGATTGTTTTATTCTAAAAGGTCTATAAATACTGCAACATACTTATTGTTGCTAAGCGAACTAAGAAACTGTATGGGTGGGTGATATATTTTCCAGATTTATTTTCCGCCGTGTAATTATTTATGTTACTGAATGCTTGATTTTCATGTTGTCGACCAAAGTCCAATTGTGGCCGGCGGTAGTTGCCAAGGCTTAATCAAAACAGCCCAATGCAGGATCGTAATTAATATCCATAGTGTCGGTTAAGTCTTTTGGGAAAACATGCTAATTAGCAATGAGAATGGCTTGTCAGAATCCGGTTAACATGCCAATAGACTTCGCCCTCAAGGTCTTTGGGGGTCAGGGCTATCGGCGGTACAGTTCCTCATCGTCAGCGGCAACACCATCACCTGACAGAACATTTTCAGTATGGCCTGATCGGATGGTGTGCAGATACAGATATACATAATCTTAATGAATTGCCACTGGGCGTTTAGCATAACTCGTTTTCGAGCTGGTTGTCAAGCAACTCGTGTGGAAATTATACAAATGTATTTCCAAAAGTGAAATTGATATTCAGCTGCGGGGGAATGCTTTTGTTTGGTTGGGTGGGAAATGATTATCATTTGAATTGTTTACCGAAATAAGTTGACACTCTGATTAGTTATTACAAACAAAGCACTGGATAATAAAAGTTGCTGTTAAGGAACATAAAGTGAATATGTTTTCAAGGCTTCCAGCTGGTTGTACAACGGCTCATTGTTTGTTTTTATTGTTTGTCTACAATAAATGTGTTTTCTGCTTTGCCGAAGACAAAAGAATAAACTGGACATGATTTCCCGTTGTCTTGTGGCCCAGTTAAGAAGCGGCCTTCCGCAGTTCAATGCTTATCTGCCAGTGACCCATTAATGGGTTGAAATTAATTATCGCATAGTGCCGCTGTTTCCTTGCTGTTGACCTTTTTTGGGGCCGACAGCTGTTTTCCAGCAAGTTTATTGAGCTTTCAATTTCGACATTTTATTGCCCAAGTACGACCCAGTGGAAGTGGAATCAAATCTAAGTGACTATCTTATCGCTGTGAATAATTCTTGAACCTGAAAATTGTTTTTCTGATTAACACGGCGAATCAATTGTTATGGTAAATTTCATGGGTGAAAGGCGGACAGTTATCCAAATTTAAATATGCGTATTAAAGAGTAACCTTATATAACATTATGTCATCATGAACCAATTCAATGGTATTGTGTTCTGATATTTGTTCCAGTTTATTGCACACTTTACACAATAATGGGGTGGACAAACAGGTGAATTACTGGACCGTTCGAGCATGCAATCTCCGTCACTAAATTCGCCAGTTCACGTGGCTGCAACATGCGACAAATTAATTAGCATGCCAAACGCCTTGCGTGCCATGCTGGACAACATTGGCCCCGGGCCAGTGCAATCCAGTCAAATCCCTGTTATTATGCATAAAAGCAGCCCATTTTCCAGCTGACAAATGTGCACATGCTTAGCAGCTTGTTGGCGAGCAATTATGCATCATAGATTGCATAACGCCCAGCTCACCCAAACAACAAACAAGCGATAATCGCAAATTTGGGTCTGGCATTACAAAACCGTTCCTTTGGGTACCGTGTGTTGACACTCGGCGCTCGTGTTCATCGCCTCTCGATAAAGAGCAACAAACAAAACGAATGCATTTAGAGCACCAACGATAAAAGCTGCTGGTCAAAGTCCACGCGGCGAATGAGTAACCTCGGCAGCCAGACTTCGAATTAAGCATACGCCCAGTTGGCGGAACCGCTGATCGAGAAAAAAGCTGCTCAGTGCACAAGCATGACCACCACGACACGGTCAACTGCAGCGCCCGCTCTCCCGATTTTCAGATTTGAATGTATATTACACAATAACTTTTGCATTTCTTGGCGATTGGCATTAGATAGGAAATCTGTTTTCTACCGCCAAGAGGCGCTAATTTCAGGCAGCAAGGGTATAAGAAATATGATTTACAGGGCTATTTACGCATTAAAAAATCAAGTGTATAATGAGAAAAATTTATTTATCTCTTGAAATTGTTTTCTACATTTAAAATCAGTATAGCATTTTGCCGCGATTCCCTAAATCTTAGCCTCACAATGTTGTTTATTTGTGTTAAGTGGCTTAAGAAAATAAATTAAAGTCAAACGTAGGTCGAATAATTTAAGATTTACTAATTTAAAATTTGTATTCAACTTTATATTTCTTAATGGCTAAGGTCGGTATTTTTTGTGGCAGGGAATAATGTAATATTATTTTAAGTTATGATTTTTTTTTTTTGTTGCTTTCAACAACACATTAAAGCGTTACGAGCCACTTCTTTTAAATGTATATAAACAAGTGTTTAAGCCTTTAATTTAGAATACCACACTAGAGGAATGCGTTACAAATGCATTTAAGGTATTGATTTCGAATAATCGGGGCCAAAAGATCTTTCACTTTACGTGCACTGCATACTGAGCATATACTAGACGAAACTATAGAATAGTACACTTCCTAGGCTGCTATAACAACAGCCGAGCACTTGATTGAGTTTATCTGGGCATTAGCATTTTATAGCGACCATAAAGTATACAAAGTGCTGCCTGTACAAAGAGTTCACAACCCCCTTCAATTGGAAACGGCAAAAAAAAATAAATTCGCATGAGATAAGCGTGCCTGGCCCTTGTACCATCTGGCCCGTTCAATAAATTTAGGAAAAATTTCCATAAAATCGACTTGGCTGGCTAATCCATAATGATGATGCCTATCAGGGTCTGGCATTTAGATAAGACAACTTACCTCCAATTAGTTTGAGGCACAGAAAACACTTCCAGAGAATCGACAAGACACTTCGGTCGCACTTAATGAAACAATGAACGATAAGGGACGATGTGCCAAATGAATTGAACTTTCCGTTGTTTTCAATTTGTCGAAAGGCGGAGACAATTGTCCCACCACTTCAGGCCAAAGTATTTGCCTCAATTTCACTATTGCATGTGCCAGTACTCTAGGGGCGGGTATAACCGCAAAAATGTCAGGCCTCGTCAATGGTATCGCCAAGGTGCCGACCCAGTCGGGCTGAGATTTCCATAGCGCGCGGTTTGCATTTCTCCGGTCTCCGGTCTCTGGCATCAAGTGTAAGTCGAGTGGGTGTGCGGTTATCATTGTACATAACTGGCATCTACCTTATTTAATTTCGTAATACATATCACAAAGATCTTACAATGCAACGCATTTGCAATGCTCTTTCATATGGCGAACAGTGGTTCTGCTTTTATTGAGAGTGTCAGGCGCATGCAGCATATTGCGGCATTTTTTCTTAGCTATAAATAGCAGCGAATACAATGCAATGAGAAAGTTTTCCTTCTAGAGAATCGCGTTCCTTATACCGCGACCCTCAACTTGAACCTTTGCTGGGCTGCCGTATAACCCAAGGGCATTTTCAGCCGCGCACGTAACTGTCATTATGCGGCAGTATAATATATTTGACATTTGTTGCTTGCGCATCTAATTGGATTGCAACGGCAGGGGAGCATTCGTTATAAATACCTTTGTTTTTCGGATAACAGGATTAATTAAAAAGCGCATTAAAATGTTGAGCTTAGAATTCAATTTACAGTACCATATTGGTTATGCCTTTCCTAAATTTAAAGAAATTTCTTATTTGTAAATATTTTTAAAATTAATGTGCTTAAAAATGTAAGTCGTTCTGAAAAACATTGTTTAAATAACAAATAAATATATATATTACACATATGTGTAAACTCTAAATAAAGAATCTAAGGATATCAATTGTGTCTAGTAAATATTTTATTAATACAAAAAGCCGTTACAATCTATCTAGTTAATTTGTTTTAGAAATGGTCAATATGTTGGAGCAGAGTAATATGTTCTTTAAATTTCACTTATTTTTTTTCGTTTCATGTTTATTGTTCAAAGGTTCGGTTTTAGCCAGCAATCTGCGTTTGTCCTTCGTGCTGTAACTATTATTACACCAAGTCCACGTGTCGTATAAGTAATTTACTGCAGAGCAGCGACGAGTGAAGGTTTATTTCTAGCCAGTTTGTTTTCCTTGAAGTGGTGAAAACAGATAGCAGGAAACCGAAGGAGAAACTGCACTTGACCGAAATGTTCTTAGCCCAGTGACCACCATTGACATTGATACATTGCCCCTATGAACCTATGATTAACAGTGAATTCTACGTTTGCAGCTAGCCCTGCCAGCAACATGTTGTTTGCTTACTAATTGGCCCTCAGACAGTCCTTCGAATGCAGCAGGAGCGAAATACACAAGCAGGAAGTTGGGAAATGTTTGTCAGCGAATCTGAGCCTGCCCAACAAACATATGCCTGCACTGGCAATGTCTCTACGGATGACGATGTCACAGAAATCAAAAACCTGAAGAACAATAACCAAAGCGGAAACAGAAGACCCAGTTTCGAAGGAGGCGGTTCACCGCTGCAGGAAATCGATGAACATTACGTCTGCGACATTGCCATGATGCGCATCGGCGGGGAGGAGGGCCTCCCGGTGACACACAATGTGCCAGCTAATGATTCACCAGCGCTGTCCAACAATGAAAGTACAAACAATGAGAACGAGGTGGAGATCGATCGGCAGGAGGAGGAGCAGGCGATCAGCGATCTGGTGCGATCGAGTAGTGCAGGTGCCCTCATGGAGGCGTAAGTAGAGGTATAAATCTAATGGTTATTCCTAGTTCTAATCCCATTGAATTCCCTTCCAGAGACAGCAAAAATGGTGGAAGCATGCGTGTGGTCTTCGGCATCCTGGTGCGACTGGTTCTTCCACTGGCCAATGGCGTGGCCAGGGGCATCAAGGGCATTCGCGATGTGCGGGTGCTGAGGGTTCTCCAGAATCTGGCCTCCAGCCGACAGGCTCTCACCAATCTGGTGGCCTTTGCCGCCAACACCATCTCGCTAAATCTGTCATCGGTTCAGGGTGAGTCTTATTAATAGAAAAAGTGTGTCAAACTTAATAAAATTCCATAATTTATTTAATAAGAAATAATATTAATAGAACTTAATAAAATTTCATAATGAGATATGTGATTCAACGAATATTGAACCATATAAATAATGTTTGGCTATAAATAACATTTATAATATTTTAATATATTTACACTTTGTGGATACCATCGATATTAATTCCCTTATGGTTAAATCAAACAACGACTTATTAAATTATCTCCTTTTTTATTTGAAAACAAATGTTTATATTAGTCAAAAGAAAACTATATTTTTTTAGCTCCAAGCCTTGAACCCTATAAATAGTGGTAGTTAATTATTTGAAATCAAATCGTTTTCTCCTTTACAGTTTCTAATCGCATGGGCCCCTTACTGAAGCTCCTGAAAATGCGCAAATCGCAGGATGGCCTTGAGAGTCTTCCCGACACCCTGAGTGCTCCCTCCACGCCCTGCACCCCCTGCCCGACCAGCAATCCGATGCAGGGTCCGCCCATTTACAGCGTTCGCTCGGATGCGCCCAGCTGTTGCACCATTAATATACTGGCGGAACCTCCGCCGGGTCAGCCCATCCGGGCGGATATTGTCCTTATCCATGGTCTGCATGGATCCTTGGTAAATACTTGGAAACAAGGACTCTGGCAGAATGATCGTCAGCCGGTGGAGTTCGAAAGGCCGCCACGTCCGCCAGTGCGTCCGCCAAAGAGACCTCGTCACTCCCGCAGTGCGGCCATTCATCCGGCTCCCAGGGAGAAGAGGGCCAAGTTTGCTTCCCTCAACCGCTGCGTGGACACCCCAGATGATGCCCCAGTGCGACAGAGGACACGACTGCAGCAATCTGTGGCAATTCAGCCGGAGGACTTCCAGTTCAATGCTTCCGATAGCGATGATAGCGAGTGAGTTTCTTTGCTAGCTTACACTCCAAACAAAAATATAACCAAAGTGTCACTTTAAATTGTAGTCTAAGACCAAATTTTTAAACCACATATACTACCCACTCTTGCATGTTTTAAATGTTTTATGGTATAATTAATTGCTTTTTCTTCTCCTAGCTATGCTTATGTGTGCGGCGAGCCAGAAGACATTCAGATATGCGAGGGCATCGAGTACAGCTTCCCCACTTTCCGACTCAGGATGCAGGACAACAACCAGCTTCTGCAGGCTGAATTGGAGTCTATGCTGCAGGCCAATGGCAAAGGGGAAGGGGGTACCATCGGACGGGACAGACGCCCCCGTTCCGCCTCACCAGCCACGCCCCGCAAGTCCAGCCGCAAGAACAAACCTTCGCCCAACGATCCAAACTACTCAAAGTGCTGGCCCGGCGATTGGCTGCCACTGGATTGTCCGGGAGTGCGGGTTATAGCCCTGAACTACACCACTGATCAATATCTCTGGCGACCGCTGTGGAAAGGGAAGGAGCCGCGCTCCAGCCTCATCCAGCGATCCCGCGAAATGGCCGAACTGCTCATCCAGCACCGCGTGGGCCATGGCCATCCCATCATCTATGTGGGCCACTCGAAGGGGGGCCTCTTTATCAAGCAGCTAATGGTGGATGCCTGGGAGAGTGGTCGTCCCGCGATGACCCCCCTTTGGCGATCCGCCCGCGGCTGCTTCTTTTACTCGGTTCCCCATCGAGGTTCCCATTTGGCCAGCATCAAGGCGCCGCTGCTTTCGCGATCCGTAGAGCTGCTGGAGATTGAGAAAAGTAAGCCTAAATAGATGATAATATCTTAACAGTTATTATAATTCAAATAATTATCCATAGACAACAAGTACCTGCTGGACCTACATCGCAGATTCGCGGGACTATATCATCTGGGTCACCTAAAGATCGAGGTGTTTAGCTTTGTGGAGACCGCCTTGACGCTCATGTCAGTGCTGTATCTCCGCATTGTTGGTGTGGACTCAGCGGGTGAGTCTTTATCAGGCTTTTGACTATGAGCACTTGATTATCATAACAAAAAGAAATGGTTGTCACTCATTACAAAAGAGTTACGATAGTGAATTTCCATTTCATTATCAAGGAAAAATGTGAAGATAACAAAGTTACATCAACATTATTGATAATGCATTAAGGAATGCTTATAACACTTAACTAATAATAAATATATTTCTTGTTTACAGATCCCGGCTTTGGCGACGTCTGCGGCATTCGTCTCGATCATCGCGAGATCTGCAAGCCCCGTGGACGGGACTGTATTTTGTACAAAGAACTGGTGAAAATGATTGAAAAGGTGTGCTGAGCATTCGGCGAAACTGAAAGACATTATGTGTTTAATATATAGTGTTTAAAGGACCTGATCTATTTGAAACCTAATTGTGAATAGAACCGACAACTCTGAGGTGTCATGATATTACGCGTACCTAAATGTGATGCCTCAGCATCCAACTGGGGCAGGCTTAATGTTAAAGCAACGCTTGTTGATTTAATAGTGCATAGCATAGTTGTTTCATAAACTTTAATTCGCCTATCCATAGCTCAAGTTAGTTATACACATTTTGTTGCCTCTAGTTTAAGCTTACATATGCCATCGGGCGTCAATGATAATTTTGCAATTTTTGTGATCGATTGTGATCATTTTTGTAGCACTTTGTTGTGATGATCCCTCAAACACCCGTGAGTACGTTATTGATATTGTACCATACATAAATTTAAAGTTCGCTAGACCTATGAATATCCTAATCTAAAAAAACCGAAATCTACACCGCTGTAAAATGTTACCAACGAAGACAAAATTGATGCATATATATATTTCCAGACATTTAAACGATCGATGTTTTATACCTATTGAATAAGGATTGAATTACTAAAAACAATAAAAGATGATATTTTATAAAAGATTTTGAAAACTGTTTAATGGGTGAAACAAACCTGAAGTGGTGGTTCCTTAAGATAAAATAAAACACATTCTATGTTTCCATCATAACTTATTTTTTAGTATATTTTTCCAATAGTTAAGGTTGCATTCATTTCTTCTTTGCCATATCTTCTGTATTCTTTAAACAAACACCGAGTTTTTCTTACATTTTTCTCTTAGACTCTTTAGCCGTGCCAATTCTTTCTATCTTATTTTTTGGCCTGGCTTGTTGGTAGTTGCAAATTTACTTACATCGAAATCTTTAACACGAATCGTTGGCAGCATACTTGCTTGAAATAATTAATTTCGCCTGCATGTACAATGCATATAAATTGCATAAAAAATACATTAGTTTTCGTTTCGTTTGTTCAGTTATGAATAGTTCAAATATGCCGTTCTGATTGTAAAACGAGGAAACCAAGCCTAAATATGTTTACAAAATTTAGTTGTTTGCCACTCTACTAATGAGGTATACAAAATGTGGACTTAAATGCAAACTAAAAATACAAAAATAAAATTATACGCATATTTAATTTCACATTTTTGTATGCGTAGACTTAGTAGAGAGTGTGCTAGGAGCAGCAGTTTCGCCAAAGTTAAGAACATAATAATTGTGTGCTTACAATTTTAGTGGACTCTTAGTTATTGAGTGGTTTCCGTTGGCCAAAAACCGTTGCAAAAATCGCAATACGCGTTTCTATCTTCTGTCTTTCTAATATTTAATTTCTTTATCTCTTTATTGTTTTTGCGCTTAAATAATTTAAACATTTATCACATCCACTTACACGGCGATCACAATCGCAGTTATTTTTACTTATTTTCTCCATTTTTTCTCATCTTTTTATTCTCGATTTTTGTTTTCTTTTTTTCAAACACGTACATTCAAGGGATTTCTTACGCCTAATTATATAACTTTAGTACATAAATTTTCTGTTTGCCTTTTGCTGCATGTAATAGTTTCAGTATATTTTTGTTTTCTTAATTTTCGTAACGTTTAAAATTGATTTTATTTCCTTCGTTTCATTCTTTTTGTTTTCTGTTTTTTTTTTTTTTTGTTAGGAATTTTGAGTTGTTCTTTTCGGAATATATTTTGTGTGTATTTAAATGCTTTTCGTAGGTTAAAGTTCATTTTGTGGCTTTGTTTTGCATGCACATTTTATTTTGTAAATGGTTTAATTATTCGGCTTTACATGTTGATGACTTATTTGCAAAGTCTGCGGCTTTATTCACCTTGAACACGAATCAGATTGTTTATTTACTGATGGTCTAAGTTGGGATGGAATTCGCAACTAACTGGGTTCAATGTGAGTCTATTTTGAACGTTGCTTCTGCTTGAGTGGAAAGGTACTATTGTTTATAGTTGTTGGTTTGTTCTGCCTCAGGGATCTTAAAGGTTACCTTTTGCTATTCAATTATTTGTTGGTATTGCACTTAGACTCTAAATACGTATACAGTTACAGTTACAGTTTCAAAACACATTTTGTTCACATTGAATATATATATATATATATTTTCGTATTTGTTTCAATCATGTAAAACGTGTTATTTTTGTATGTGTGTGTTGTGTATCTGTGACATGCATACGCTTGTGGAATGTATCATCTATAGTTGGGATTTTTGGGTATGTGTGTATGGTTGTGTCTCTGAATCTTGTAACAATTTTCGCATCTCGTTTCACACTGAACAACAATTCGCAAAATACATCTTCATACTCGACCCCCTTGACAAATACTCGTTGTGGGCTGCTCTTTCGACATTCGGCTTTCCCTAATCCTATTCCTATCAAAAATAATATCAGTGGAAAGGAGCAGGAGAGCTCGGGCATGTGTATTTTCATTTGGCGTAGCTACAGGTTCTGTCGAGGTATGGTTGGTGAATTTTATACATGGTTACAGTACGTTTGCAATGCGATGGATTCTGTGGCTTATTATAGAGTTATGCAATATCGGATGTGTGCACAAATTGGAATTGGGTTTTCTCTTTTTTTTTTTGGGGAAATAGTGTGAGAGCGAGAGCACAAAAACAAGAATGCAAAATGAATATAATCAGGTACATTTGATATATCGGTTGTGTAAACAAAACAAAATGCAGCAGTAAATATGCGGAAATTAAACATTAAACAGTTCGCTTAAAAAGGACTACAAATATAAATAAAATAAAATTACAAATATTATTGAATAGATTACGTTTTAAATCGGAATCGATGTGAACACTTGTGACTATTGTGGTTGAGTGGTATTTGAGTGGTTGGGTGATTGGGTGGCTTAGTGTGTGGTCTATTGCAGTGTTTGTGGTTTTTGGCTGTTCTGTTTGCGTATTTTCTATTATACGAGTGTAATTGAATTTTTTGCGGCAATTGCGAAGCAATTGTTAAACGTAGTAATTATCAGCGACAAATATTGTAATGCATACTTGCGGGCTGCGCGGTCTATTGCTATGTATTTATGTGGCTGTTTGTGTTTGCATCGAAAGCAACAATAAATTATGTGTATATGTATGAGAAGATACGAGTAAAAAATTAGCCTCAATTAACGGAAAAACAAACAAAAACTAAACAAATACAAATACAAAAGTACGGCATACAAGTGTAAACGTGACAAAAAACTATAGCATACAACTTAGCGTACATGTTTTGTATACGTGTATGTAGAATACATGTGTATAAATATCAGCTTAAATAATCATTTCTCCCATAGTTCCATAGTATCAGTTACTAAATATTTACATTTATAAAATGTACTCTTTATAAATGCTTAACATCACCATCCATCTAAACTCATAGTGATCTTTAATTTTCATTTTCATGTTCATCCTCTAACCATATCATCTCCATATCAATATTCTTTTGGAATGTTTCGAGCTGTGAATGTAATTATCCTTCTGTTTTGTTTTGTATTGTTTTGTTTTCTTTGCTTCTATGTGGTAGCTTCATAAAAATACTGCTTGCTTCACCCGTTGGGATCCACCTGGGCCCGTCGATGGACCACCGTCGCCGCTGGCCAAGATTGCTTGACTTGTGTGGGTTGGTTAACGGAAACTGGTCCGTTGGCAGGAACTATGGATGCATTGTGGCTGAACGAGATCGGATTGCCATTGCCTCGCGGCTGGCGCTCCTTGGCAGTTGTCGATTTCTGGCTGGAGTTGCTGTTGCTATTGCTGCTGCTGCTGCTGCTGCAGCTATTGTTGTTATTGGTGTTGTATGTACCGCCCGCTTTGGCCACATCGGCGGGCAGTTTGAAACCGTTGGTCAGGCACACGGCCGCATACTCACGCTCCGAGGTGGGTGTCAATGTGGCAGCTGCCTCTTCCTCCGCGAGGAGGCAAATGCCATCGTTGGAATTCGAGTGGCGCACAAAGTTCGTGTGGAATTGCTTCTTGCTGCTGCCGTTGCTACTGCTGCTGGCACTGCTGCTACTCAGGCTTCCACTTCGTCGGTTGGAGATACCTCCTCCTCCTCCTCCTCCTCCGCTTCCTCCACCACCGCCTGCTCCCCCGCCGGCCACACCCAATCCCGGCATTGTGGTCACCAAGGGCAGTGAGTTGGGTGGCACTATAACCTCCAGTTCAGAGCCACCAACTACGGGGCACTGCTTGGAGCTGCTCAAGGCCACCACATTGGGTGGCGTATGACGATAGGGTATGTAAAACGCCTTCGCCTCCTGCAGCATGGCATCCTGCACGGTCTTGCGCTCGGGTGAGGTTCCTCCGCCGCCACACAGCGGCAACTGCGACAGGTTGTGCACCCCGGCTATGCCCAAGTCCCCCTGAGCGGCTCCGTCCTGATCCGATCGCCGCGCCACCTGGACACTTCCGTTGCCATTGGCCAGATGGACAACCGCCACGGCCGCCGAACTCGTCTGGTATTCCAACGTGTGCTCCGGCAGCAATTCGATGTGGTAACGCGAGCGCGGAATGAGTGTCTGCATCTCGTGGCAATCCTGCTGCAATGTGCCGCCACTCAGTCCACCGGCACTATCGCCCGGCATTCCCGAGGCACTGCTTAGATTACCGAAATTGATGTCCGTGGGTGTGGTCAAATGGCTGGGTCCTTGGGCGCGGGCTTTGAAGTTCCGCTGCTGGAAGATTATAAACAGCCCGAAGAGAAACACGCAGGCAATGGAGAGCAACGAGCCGATGGCAATGCCACTGTAAACCTCCGAGTGGGATGTGCCCCTGTCCTCCTCCAGCCAAGTGTGGTTATTATTCACCATGTCAAAGTACATGGGAGCCCCTGCTCCAGTGTCGCCCATCACACGGACAGCCACATGGATTTTAGCCGTCTCAGAGACATTTGGAAACTTAAATAGGCAATAAGGTAAATCAATATTATTATAACATATAATGTCTGCCTTTCAATACCTTAAAGGAGCAGGAGGTGCACTCCTGGACGATATCCTCATAAGTGACGTTGTCCAAGGACCACCGGATATCATAGTGATGGATACGACCATTGGGATTAGAAGGTGGCTCCCACATCAGCTTAAGGCCGTTCTGTTTAATCAGCTTCGAGTTTTTGATGGTGCCAGGGGCTGAAACAAAATATGGGTAAAATGTGGAAAAGATAAATAAAACCTGTAACTTACGATCCTGTTGGGTTTTCACATCAATCTCGCCGTAAAATATGCGCGTCTTGCAGTTGGAAAAGTGCAGATTGTAACGATGATCTGCCTTGAGCTTGGTGACCAACAGCATCGAGTTGGAAATGTTGCGTTCCTTGCACTGTGGCTCCTGGCTATCGATGACCGTGTGGCACTCCAGCACACAGGTCTCATTCAGGCTGTCAAGAAACTTAAAGGCCAGAGCCCGAGACTCGATGGTCATCAGACGAAAGGGCATATTCGCCTGCTCCGAAGTGCCATTCTCGATCTGGAAAAGGGGGGAAGAAGGGGGGTAAAATCCCCTTTATAAACTCTATCCAGACAAGCGGTAATAGTTATAACAAAAACTTAATCCCCTACAGTACAGTCTACTCACAATCTTCCACTGAACGTAGCGAAAGTCCTGACCCAAGAACTCATTCTCGCTGGTGATGATCAGCACTCTCATTTTGATGCGCGCGAACCGTTGCAGCAGAATTCCCGTCACACTGGCATCCACTACCATGCTGAAGATGTCGTCCTCCAAATCCAGACTCATGTCGTCGTCCTCGTTGGTCAGCACTTCGTGTTCGGCATTTCGGAGCACAGTGGCCGCCGCCGATTGGTTTAGAGGTTGAATTTCGGTCAGATGGCGACGCACTTCGTCGGCTTTTTCCTCTACGGGAGTCAGGGTACCTTTAATGCGTCCATCTAGCAGCTGGGCTGGATGTGGATGGGTGTGATTGATGGAGAACTGCAGTATAAAGTACTTCTTGTTGTCCACCTGGCCCTGCGACCACTTAACAAATGTGTCATTGCCCACGGCAATTGGTCGGAGCATCACTGAAAGGAATTACATTATTAATTTAGAAACTATCGTTAAATGAAGAGGCCCCTCAGATCTCTAGAGGTTTTGAATCGCTGTATTTTTAATTAGAAATAACCCCTGGAGATGTGAAGCCTCTTAAGATTCACAAGACATCCAGTGGGTACTAAGTTATACTCACATCCTTGGGTGCAGCAGGTGACCGGCGTACTTCGCAACGAGCTAAGGATCATCTGCTGCGGCACCGAAGCCCCTGTTCGCACCTCCGTTGTGGGAAATAGAACACGGGTGATCAAAACAAATGGCTCGTAAACCGGCAAACTGGTGGATATCACCACGTAAGAGGTCTGATTCAGCTTCATGGGCGAGAAAGAATCCCAGCTGTGCGGATTACTCCTCACAATATAGACCACAAACATGGAGGTCAAGCTGCGACTATCGAACGTAACATTGATCGAATGAAAGCTGTGCGGATAGCAGCGAATGTTCTGCAACTGGTTGATTCGTTCCTGCTTCTGATTGAAGCGCAGTTCACCCGTGGCCGAATCCTCGCCAGCCACATTCCTGGCCACACACTGGTAGATGCCCTCCTCCTTGGGATCGAACGAGTGGATGTGCAACTCGTTGCCGCTAATGTAGCGCGTGTATGAGCTGTTCAGATGGACACCATTGTGGTACCAGGTGATACTCGGTTCCGGATTCCCCTCGGCCCGGCAACTTAATATCATCGAAATGCCTATATAGACCACTTCAACAGGCAGGCGGCTCACTATCCTAGGTGCTGTAGTCACAATCACTTGGAAATTTTGCGTCTCCAAGGGTGTTATGCAGCTGTAGCGTCCCTCATGCCTTAGGGCACTAGCGTTTGTAATGGACAGCGCCACACTGTTGTTGCTCAGGCGGACCATCTTGTTGTTCGGCGGCTGCAGGTACCACACAATGGGCACAAAGTCCGCCACAGCGTGGCATTGCAGCAGTACGGATCCGCCGGCGGGCACATAAACGGTGGCGTTCTGGAACGCCGGCAGTAGCTGGGCCTCCGTAACGGCCGTCTCCGGAATTTCCGCCTGGTTTTTGGGATAGAAGGGGGTATCCCTGGGCTCAACTCGCAATTGCCAGATGAACTGGCGGTGCGTCTTGCTGGCGAACGCGTTCTGGGCCACACATCTGCAACGGGTGTAAAGTAGATAATGGTCAGTGGTTGCAAAGCGATAATTGACATGGACAATGGCCACAATTACAACCACCACTCGGCCGCCGCTAAGTGTTAATTAATGCATTGTTTAAGGGCACCGCGGCGGTGCGAGCGGTGCGTGAGTGTGCGCCATGGGAGTGGGTCTTCTGATGGAGTACCGCAAAAGGTGTTGATTTTGCCACAGCGGCGAAGGTGGAGCGCTGCAGCAGCAACCAAATGGAAAATTGCCGTCAGTTTTAATTTAGGTAAACTGGGCAGATCGTTGTAGGAGTTGGGCAGCGTTGAAAACTACATATATATAAACTTAAAAGTGCCAGTTTTTAAAACTGCACCTAATACTTTACTTTAACTGCATTTATAAGTCTATAAATAGTTTACACACGTTGAGAACAATTTGAAAATTTAGGATGTTAAAAATTAAATTAAAATTCTATGAAAAAAAAGGTTGTTATTAAACTAATCACAGTGTAATAGTAATATTTTGGTATTATACTTTATTATCAGATGCAGTAAGATTAAAAAAAGTTTTCGATTTGATTTGTCTCACAAAAATATTAAAATTGTTATATACCAATAAGTTAATTAATATTTGATAGCTCTGTGAAGTTTTACAACATATTTTTCCTATTTTGATTGGTTCGTTTTTTGAGAACTCACTTTTTCTTTGTACTTACTTGTATTTACCAGCCTGTTCCAGGCGTAAATGCCGCAATATTAAAGTACCATTAGACAGGATAAGAGCGCTGTAATAAAGGTAAACAAGTTAATGTTTGATCACAACATTAAATAGAAATAGCTCCAAGCGTTGGTCAAGCCATCCAGCCGGCAAGCACTTAAAGTACGTAGTAGTACATATACAAGTCTAGGCCCGCTGCTCGATGCTTCAACACGGATCTTTACTCGCCTGTTGTCATTGGTCAGGGAATCGTTGCCGAAATACCAACTGAATCGGGCAGCGGGAACGCTCACGAACGGACAGCTCAGCACGAGCGGCTTGTTTTCCAGGGCACTAATGTTGGCCGTCTGCTGTTGACCCGGAAAAATACGCTTGAGTACTAAAAAGAAAACAAATTTTATTAAAATAAAGTCAAGTTTTCTTATAAAATTTGTATAAAATCAAAAATACAATATGGCCACTGCTAACACAAACACTACTGCTCTACTGGAAAAACACATTTTTGTTTGATTTTTAAATGCAACGCAAACAATCAATGCTAACAATTAATAACTAAATTAAGCCATTTAGACAGATTTGGTTGAGTTTTCTAATCAACGCATATAATCACTTTTATTATTTTGGAATAAAAATTTAAAATAAACAAATAAAGACCATTTTATTGATAAAAGTTGTGCTATAATTTTGTCCTTCATACGTTTAAGGTTTTCATTTCGTAAATATTTATTTAATAGTGAGTTGAAAAATTTTTATAAGGTGCTTAAGTTCTTGGGATCTTTTCTCTTGCCTAAAAACTCACCTGGATACTCGACTGTGATTTTGTCGGAAATAACCGCCGACTCATCCCACTCGATCTTGCAGAAATATTCGCCGCTGGCCTTCTCGTTCGTGGGCAGACGCAGCGTTCCATTCTCGTAGATGAAGAAGTCATTTTTGCGAATGGACAATTGTTCGACGGCCTCGTCATTCCGATACCAGCTGCAGTAGATGGGCTGGTTCTCTGTGGCGGGGGAAAAATAACTCCAGAATGTTAAAGCTCCTTTGGAAACCCACAGAAGATAACTCACCCTGATCGTAGTTGTAGGGCGTTAGGATGGGTACGCATGGCAAATAGTACGGAGTGTGGGGCTTGCTGATGGTCAGTCTGGTGATGGCGTGCTTCTGGATCTGCAGATACGGCAGGAGGGCGGTTGAGTTCTTCGGTTGGGTGACGGCAGCAACTGCAAGAGAGCAAAAACAATTGATTAAGAATCTGTGCTTGGCGCGACGCGGCTAAATTATTGGTTCCAATAATCCTCCGCCCATTTGGCCAGACAATAGACAAAAGGCGGACAACAAAGCGGGCAAAAAAAAACCAGGCCACAAAAAAAAATGTAAAAATGTTATTTATATTCTAGCTTAATCTATTGGCTGTTATAAATTTCACGCTTTTCACTTAACACCGCCCCCAGTCCGCCTGCCCTCCCACAACTGCATTGAGGTTTTTACTGCATTGGCCATAAATACCCGGAGCATACAGAAAAAATCTGAGAAATAGAAAACTGCCAAACAACGGAGCCGTGCTGGGCTCAGGGTTAGCTTATGCACTGGGAAAATTTACTAATCAAATTGTACAAGTATTTCAAATACAGCTAAATCAAGCAGTCACAACGGCTAATATGAAATAGGTCTTTTAATAAACATTTAAAGCAAAAAACATTTAACATTTAAATTTGATTATGTTTGCAAAACATGTTGCGCAAACGTCTACATATGAAATGGGTTTTGACTCAAAGTTTTTTCAGTGTGCATTTGGGTAATGGCTCTGACTCTGATTCTGGGTAAGTCCCCTGGCTTCAGTTCTCCGTTTTGGTCTGGGACTGGGTATGGGTATGGGTATGGCTATGGGTCCGAGTCTAGGCTACGTGCTGCAGGCGTGTCCAGGCAGACTTGGCGTGTTAATTAATTTTTCTGCTGCTGTTCTGCTGTTGACGCGACCATGGCGTCGTCGTCGTATTTTTTCATTTGCAGCTTTTCACTCGTTACTGCAGCGGTTCGTCAGTGCGTATACGTGATATTAAGCAGTTGAAACAATTACATGGCCAGCGGGCAGCAAGGGAGATTTGCATACGACTTTGGTCGAAAGTCGTCCATCAGGCAACACATTTTCTATTAGCTGTACGAGCAGTTCTAGGGAAATGGAAATGATAATGGCCAATGTCAGGTTGAGTACTTGTCGGGTGAAAAATGGACAAATGCAGCGTCGGAGCCCCCTTACAAATGTCGGGACATTAGTCAAATGCGTTGAAATTTATGCTAAAAATGCAATCAACTTGCGTTCCGCTCGACGGCCGTCCTCAGGCCCCCCCAAAAGCCCCCGCACAATCAGCCTGCCACTGCCATTTCCACTGCCACCCAAGTGGCCAAGTGCACGCGGTTGTTGCCAAATGCTGGATGTGCTGACTGCTCGTTAGTCAGTCACAAATTGTGGCCAGTCGGTCGGGTTCTTTTTGCCGCTCTCGGAAACTGAATATTTGTTTCGGTTTTGATAAATGGACTCCTATAAATTAGATAATTGCTGAACAAGCTGCGAGGGATGTGTCTTAAAGCGCTGGGCTCTGGACTCTGGAATTCGCCCCGCGCGCTTCACTCATGTTGCATGTTTGTACGCAATGTGTTGCAATTTTTATTGCAGTAATTACACGCAATGCCCCGGCGGCAATTTGACGCATGGAAATGCCTTCGACGGCCACGTCAGCAGTGGAGCTACTGCATCCCGCTAAGTGCGGCACATTTACAAACACACAGGGCACTCAGAGGGCGAGGGGCGGTTGCAGGAAGATCGGTTCGAGGGGTAACCACAGGCACACTGGAAAAAAGTTGTAATAAGTTGATTGCACAAATTACTGCCAAAAAAATCCAATATCCATCTAAACGTGAGACTATGTTTTATTTTGTAACATATAAATATATATTTATTTTATTTTTTTATATAAAGCTAACCTATAAATAAAAATGACTTACTTTCAAGTAGTAAAATGGGCTTTTATTAAATAAAATTATCAACATATTTATCACTAATAAAACGATGTCAAGATGTAAAGACTTCATCGATACAAGTTAACTTTAAGCATAATTTTATATAATTTGTAACCTAATATATTCTGAATAATATCACAATGATAATATTTTAATGTCTTCGATAAAATAAAATACGATTAAGTTTGTTTTATTATTTAAATAGTTTTCCTATACGCCTATAAAACAAAGTTAATACAAACGTTAAAGGCTAATATTATGGCCAGTGCACTTGCAGTAGCAGTTGCATGTGCAACCAGGGCGTAATTGTTATAGCGTAATTGTTTCAATGGCGGGGCGTTTAATTGCGCTTTGGCAACTACTCCGCCGCTAACGACGCTCGGTTTTCGAGAGTCAAAGTTCAGCGATTTTTTTGTCATCCGCCGTGCACACCTTGCCATGGTGCCATTTGTCATCGCCTGTTGGAGGGTTTGTATGGTTGGATGGTTGGTTGGTTGGTTGGTTGGTTGGTTGGGACATGTCAGCGGCAACATTACCCTTAAAACTCCTGCTCGTGTGCTCCGGGGTCGTTAGCGGAATCGTTTAACTTGCAGATTAATTGCATCGCCACTCAACGAGTCAATGCTCGCATAGAACCATCCATTTAATGCGCTTGACATTCACTTCCAATTGAAACTATTCAGCAGCTTTCTAAACCACTTGGCGGGGGCTATCAATTGTGTTAGATCGCTTCGGGAAACCATCATCGCTGGCCATAACTCAACGCAGCTGCAACAAGATCGGCAATCTCGGTGATTGAACTGTCATGACATCCAATTTTCGTCCAGACAACACGTTATCTGCTTCCCCTCTCCCATAAACTTTGTAACCCTACACAATTTCAGCTCATTTGTATTAAAATCTGTCGTAGTCAAAGCAATGCATAAGTCTTCCCAGTCAACTCAGCGCAGAGGAATGCTTCCCAGAATCGTGCTTGAATGCTGTTTGACAAGTATATATACGTATAGTATAGACTCCCATCTGCATTTACTAAGTTGTAGCAAGTTGCAAGTCAATAGTGTGGGGGGCAGATTGCAGCGGAGATGCAGAGGTTCCTCTGGAGAAGGCAGGCAACTGGGCGCTGCTGCACAAATTTGCATAGTTGAACGCACGTCGCCGCACAATGGGTGTTTCTAACACAAACAAATTCGAATTTCCATTTTCACCCATTCGTAGCTTTATTTAAAAGCCTGCTCTTTGGAGGACTCGATCTTATATCCATAACTGATAGGATTTCCTTATTATTATGTCAGGTTCGAAGCCATAATCCTTTGCTTGTTCTCGAAACAAAGGCATTAGTTCCAAGGCAAAATGCCTGCATAGTTTTGATAACAAAAATTAACTGAAATTTAAAGAAATATTCTCTAGTCTCAGAATATATGCTTTTAAGGCTTCTTTAGAGGCTTCGATCCATGACTAATTTGATTGTATTCATTTTCATTGTTTATAATTGTGACAGGCACAGATTTTATTTTTTAAATCACTAGACTTCTTCTCGAACCGAAGTATCAATTCCAAGTGCCGGTTAAAATTCTGATTACAAAAATTAACAGAATTTTAAAACGGAATTCCCTCGACTCAGAAAAAATGCTTTTGTTTCGTCCACTCGTAGCTTTATTCAAAAGAATATTCTGTAGAGGCTTCGAACCATAATGTATGACTCATAGGATTAAATTCTGATAACATCAATTGATATTTTTGTAAGACAATAATATAAATCATAAAGTTTTATAAACTCCCACTGTGCGCCTTCGCGAATGCAGTGCATTCCGGGCAGCAACAGTTCCTGCCGCTGCCGCTGCAGTTGATGATGAAATGCAACTGCAATTGCTGCTGCAGCAGCGGCACATAAATTGCCGGCTGCTGCGCCGAGCTTATCAAAACGGCAACATCTTGTGCATAGATAAGCCGGCCTGGCCTCGGCCTCCAACTAACGGGCCTGGGCCCCATGGAATTTCGCAAATTCAAATTGCCTGGCATCCTTTAATGCCGCTCTGCTGGCACAGCTGCAGCGCTGGCACACTTTTACCGCTCCAAATCCAAAAGGCAGCGGCAACATTTTATGCAAAATGCAACGCGCACGAGATAATTTATCGCCTAATGACGTGCTGTTCTAAGGTTGCCCGCGTTGTTGTAAAATGCAATAATAAAATGTGCCTGCAGCAGGAAGATGCAAAGTATAGGAAAAAAAAAGAAAAAAATTGCACTAGAAAAAAAAAGAAAATTAAAAATGAAATTTAAATGCCGCACGAGCGAACAGCATCAGCTGAGAGGCTGTGAAACGGGTTGCACCAGCAGATCCCAACCCCTCACTATAATGGCATACACTCGAACAAAAAAGGGCAACCAAAACAATTTTAAAACTTCGTTAACCTAATTATATACTTAATAAAGTTGCTAGGAAAAATGTATTTCATTTAAATGGATTTTAAACTTGAAATATTTTTATTTATATAAATAAAAAGACTTTATTTTATTAGTCATACGGTTCAACCAATTTATTTCCCAAAAAAGTTTTTTGTTTAATCGAGCAAAGATTTTGTTCACAAAATGTTTGACGATGTAAAAAATATTTTTACACACCATGTTGACTTCCTTCAATATAAGTTAGTTTCAGAGATTTTTGGCAAATTCTTTTCTGTGTCTAGAGAGCATTCTTTGGGCTCCGGTCTGCTGTCGCTTTGGGGGCGCTCAACGAGAATTTATGAATGTGCAAATGCATACGACAATTTCGCGCATAAATGTAAGCTCCTGCCATGCAGCACAGGGGAAGAAAGTACGGGAAGAAATTCTGAAAGGAAAGGGGAACACACCCACCACAAGTTTGCGGAAAGACGGGAAAAGCTGGCAGATCGGATGGCAGTCGAAGATGCGTGTGCACATTCCATGGCATTCCGCTGCGGCATGTGGGAAGTTCTATGGTTGCACAGAAAGTATCTTGTAGCTCGTGTTGTTGCTGCACCAGCAACTGCAACAGCAACTTGAATCGCATCTATTGATTGCGCACAGTTCATTGGCGCGACTAGGGAAAGGATTGCCGAATGCGGAGTTGTTGGCGTAGCTGGATGCCTGAATGCACAAGCTTATTTGGGTTAGCAGTTCAAATAGTTTTACGTGCTGTTTTGATCAAATTTCCAAATGCTAACCGAGAATTTATTGAAAA